TGCATTTTTCGGGCGTTTTCTAACCGTTGCAAAATGTCAAAAACGTTTAAGCTACTTAATAGGGTTTCAACTTACTGGTATCGAGTTTTCCCCCGGATTCTGTACGTTATAATAAGTTTTCTTTCTCTCTATTCCAAAAACGTGATAGATAAACACGAAATCTACAACTGCAAAACTTTTTAACAACAAACAAAGCTACAACAAACAAATGTACAAAGTCAATCCAAAATTGTAACCATTTAATTAAAAAATAAAACAAAAAAACATTACAATGTGCCAACAATAATTACCAAATAAACAAAAAACACTATTAGTCAAAAGGAAAACAACAAAATCGATGCCTGTAAACATAATTATAAAATATACTAAAAGCACTTATCCCAAAAAGAGAACGAGAAACTTGAGGAGAGAGTAAAAAGAGTGAAAAAACACTGAGAGAAATATAATTTATTGCATTAAATAGCCATAGGAGTAACTTATTCGAGAGTCCAGTGCCAATCCGTCAAAATGCGCTTCACCTACAATCAGTATAAACATTACGAGTCCGGTTACCGGATTCCATCAAAAATGCATAATTTGAACCACCATAACAACAATAATAATAACTCTGGGGGTGGCAACAACAACAACAACAATAATAATAATAGCAACAACAATAGCCATCATTATGCCCACTACAACAACAACAATAATGGCGGTAACAACAACACAAATTTCCAAGCCTATCAACATCATTACAAAAGCAACTTCGGTAAGGACCTGATAAGGAATAGAAAAAAAAAACAGCATATGCTCCTAATAAGATATATAAAAATATTCTAAGAAATTATTTGCCAACAAATTGGAAAGATAACAATTAAAACATTTGATTATTCCGTGTAACTGGTGGTAAAAAATTGAATTTTGAACTTAAGTTTGGGAAATGCATTCAAAATAAAGGTATTTTAAAATATTTCGCAATCTGCTTCATGCGAACATATTTTACCATAACATGGTTAATACTGAAATTCATAAAACCAAAATCTCAAAACTTCTGAAAGAAAATTTTTTTTTATATATTCGAAAAGTAAAATTTTATTTTTTAATTTCTGTTGGTCCCGAAGTTCTATAATTCTTTTCATTTTAAAGATCCCCCATTAAGATACTCTATAAACGCTTAAGTTTCACAAAATTTAAACTGTTTTCGATATCTTGAATGGTTTTTGATAGACTAAAATGGAATGCCAGCTGCCAACATGACGTGGACATAAACGTTTCTTTTTGGCCAATTGTTCCCTTTATTGGCATTACGTATATCCAAAGCAGAGTTCAAGAATCTAGACATCACCTTAATTGTACCATCCCAACATTCAATGCTAATGGCTGGCTTATCGGCAACACGCCGTAATTGCTTTGAAAACAAATCTCTCGCTTCGCCTTTGATAACATGTCATAATCGGTATAGGTGTTCGAGTACACTTGGAATTTCCTCGCCTCGAAGATCCAACCAGAAATGCCGAGCTCTCCAATCTTCAATTACGCGAGAGGCGCCAGTTGTCGCTGGTGATTCAATTTCTTTCTCCATATCAGGTTTGGGTTCTTGTTTAACGCTTTTCGCCAGTTGCCAAGTTTGGTGTGGCGATAAGATTACACGCAAAGCAGTAAATAATAAAGCCAAGGGGCCCGAGCCATCCAATCAAACTCCGAAACACTTGACCAACCCGCTAATTGGATGGTGACAAATATGATCCAAAAAGGAGAACAATTGGTTGATAATGGGCGTGGATCCTACAAATCGGATATAGAAATTATGGAACTTTGATGATGCTTAAGCGGGGAGTAGGGCAAATCCCCGTTAAAAACAACATATTTTTGGTAATTTTTTCCTCGACGAAACAGTTTAAATATGTTCTGGAATATCAATTTTACATTATAACATTTAAAAAATATTTTATACAATTTTCATAGAGAAATTTTGAGTAGTATGGCAACGGCGGCAATTACTTGAAGGTTTTTTTTTTATTTTAAAATGTAGAGATTTCCTCTGTATAACGTAAAGTTAAAAGATCAGTCAGTCAATATGCAAAGCATTGTAAAGTTATAAAACCAGTTTATTTGTTTCAAAAGACCACAAACTTGTACTACTTAACAACAAAGTGAATTAAAACAGATTTCTCTTTTGCCGTTTGCTTGGGATCTCAGCAATTCCAATAATAATTGTTAAGCTGAGTGAAATGTTGCACTTTTGTTAATTTTGGACTAGTGCCTTTCAATCAAACAAATTGTCCAGACTCCTCCTTTAATTTCCGTTATTATTTCGACCCTCTGGTCGGTGGGAGGGGCGGTGTTGGCGCTCATCTTTCACTATTGCGGTTGATGGTGGGGCGGGCACAGTGGGTCAGGCAGGTTCAATACACTTTATTTCCCTCGCCATTGTTTTATTGACAATCTGTTTTGGGGTTGACCTCTCCGAAGCTGTTATTTCGCTCAAGGAGTCTGTGTTTAATTATAGAACCTGCAAGCAGCGTCAGCACCATCTGTGTTTAACTACATAACTTTGGGGGGAGGAACTCTTTATGCCAACCTCGCTCTGATCTCCGGTGAGAATTGAATTAAAGCACGCTTTTTGTCTGCCAATTGAGTGCAATGTCTAGTATACCATAATATCATGATAGGTGGATGAAAGCAACAATGGCTTTTAGGCGCGATTGTCGTATCGTTAACGTATCCATTTATCTGTGGTATCTGCATCTGTATCAGCGGCATGAGGCGGCAGTTTAGCCCCTTGGAAACAAAAGGCCGTATCCCCTCTGATCCCAATCCCAGCCGCTCTTATCTGTAGCGATCACAGGTAAAGCCCATTTCTTCCCAGGTTAACGGGTTCCCGAGTTCCCGAGTTCCCAGTTCCCATTTATTTGGGTTCTGCAGGTAGGCGCGTTCCGCAAGCCCAGTAATAAATGTTTGCTTGTTTGTTTGTTTGATTTCCACCCAAGGTTAGGCCAAAAGGGTGCGGATCGCGTGGGTGTTTTTACTTATGGTATGGTATGGTATGGCATCATAAAGGCCAAGAGTCGAACAGATTTTCTCACCTCCCTAATTTGTATATCTATATGTACATACATTTGTTTGGAGCGCAATGCACGTCACCGAGGGATCTTCGTAATTGGAGATCAAAGTTTGTTTGTTTTCGTTGCTGCTATCAAAGGCGCTATTGTTTGCTCGATTCTTATCTCGTAAATAAGCTCGTAATTATTTAACGATTTTACCGGAATTAAGGAACGGAACATACAATCATAGCAGATTTCTCTGGAAATAAATGGATTTCGGAAAGAGGGGTGTTAAAACCTATGTATGTTAGAAATATGAATTTTATTTGACAACATTTATTACATTTTCACACTAAATTTCACACGATATTTTATTCTTATACAGTGTAAGTGTAAGTGTACAGTGCCTTTAAACTTAAATGGCATTTCATTACAAAATATCTTTATTTGTTTGTAGAAACGGTCATAATTTGATAAACATAAATAATTTTTTACAATAGGTTTCTAATGAACATGTCGCGACATGCCGTGACTTGATACAATGCCTATAAACATATATATGTATTGTAATTTAAAGAATATAGAACTAATTTGAAGAATATGACTACTAAAAATTTGCAACATTATAATACATATGTTACTATTAAACGTACATCCTATTATAATACATACTTTTAAGCTTAAGTGGCATAGCCTAAAATCTGTCTCGTCTTCTAATCATTCTGTTTTCCCTTTTATTTTTTGCTTCCACTTTGGCCTATCCCAACAAACATTTTAGTCCCCAGATTGCACCCCTATATATGGCGATATACATATGTAAACCCAAGTTGAGTTCCACTTGTCTGCGCCCCCCAAGAAATTATCAAATTTTATTTGCAATTGATTTGCATTTTAATTAAATGTTCTGCGAAATAAACCAGTAGAGAAAGGCAGGCGTTTGGCGTTTTTTTTTTTTTTTTTTTTTTATACAATTATAAACAAATAAAGAAGCGCTAGCCAAATATACGATCGAAAACGGGGTAATAAAAAAAAAAATAAAACGAGGTGGGGAGGCAGGGGAGTGGAGTGTAGTGGAGTGTAGTGTAGTGGAGTGGAGTGGAGTGGAGTCGCAGCTTGTTAATGGGTTGGCGTTGGTGTTGGGCTTGGGGTTGGGTCCGTTTGGTTTGGTTTGGCTGGGTTTGTCTGGCTTCCTTATCAGCGCACTCCGGCTCATTGTTCCGCTGCCCATGATAATACACAAACAGCACCCAGCCAGATGATATACATGTGTACATATACAGAAGTGTTTATAGGCAACACAACTCCATGTAGAGCAAAATATAACGCTGAAACTGCGACGGCGGCAACTGCTGTTGAAATTGAAATGGAAATGCGAATGCGAAAACGAAAATGAATGCAAATGGAAATTGAGCTTCAATTGAGATCAACAATGAATGCAATGCAACAGTAGCATCACCATCACCATCACCATCACCATCACCATCACCATCATCATTGTTACAATAACAGCTGGAACTGCAGCTGCAACAGATTCTATGCTGCCGACTCTACGGACCTTAGATCTCCGGGGTTTGCACTCTCCGGCGGAGTTCAATGCACCCCACAGGCCGAGCGTCGCAGTATTATCAGTTTCCCTGGCATATAACTTGCAACTTGCGAACGGGGACCACAAATCGGACGATATTTTCTTGGTTCCTCTCTATCTGGATTTTAATTCTTTTGTGTTTCAATGAAGCCACTACCATAGGCGCTATATAGAACTGAAAATGAGGAGCTTTTCTAGTAAAACTAATGGCAATCACATATTACTATAACATTACCCACAAAACAACATTGATTTCTATTACTATTTGTTCTATTCACTGGCACCTTCCCTTGTAATTCCATATTTATATGGGTTTAATCAAGAATTTCAATAGATTTCAATAAATTGAAACCTTGTTTAATTATGATTTCTGTTCATTTTTCTTTTAGGCATGAGGATGACCATGTCCACCAATTCCACAATGAGTGCCCGAATACATCGGAAGGGATTTCGCATACCATCGAAAAGACAACCGGGCAAGGGATTGCCCGGCAAGCTGCATACTATTACCAGGGTAAGTAAATAATTCGAAATCAATTAAATATGATGTTAAATAAATATAAGAAAATTTAACATAAGGATCACATTCGAATTAGCCATATTATTACAGAACTCTTTTTAATATTTATTGTATACATTGGTTAATTTAATTTTATTGTTTATTTAACAAATTAAGCCGGTGGCCTTCGACTCTATATTTGGTTGTTTTTTTTTAAATAAATATAAATAATATCTATTGTTAGAAGAGCCAATATTTATTGAAATCACTTGGTAAAGGTGTTTTAATTAACAATATTTAATAGTTCTTTGAACTATATGATTTCAAAATTGGGTTTATTATTTATTGTATTAATTTGTTAAAGTAATTTTAATTGGTAGATCCCACAAGATATCTCTAATACTCATTTGATATTGTAATTTTTTGTAATTTCTTTTTTATAAAATAAACATAACTAGAAAATATATACTTTATACATCTCTACGGCCAGAAGACCTGATATTTATAAAGTTTATTTGCTAAAGGTATTTTAATAATTATTTATTTATTTTAAGTAATATCTTTAATACACGCTTGTTAGTTTATTGTATTGATGGTTTCAATTCTGTGACATTTTTGCAGACGGGTCCCGGCAAAATCGTGCCTGGAAAGCGAATACCACAGAGACCCCATCCGCCGCCCTGCGACAATTCGAACGACAGTGGCCTGGGCTTCGATCAGCACACGGAGATGAGGTCCTCGGCAGGAGCGGGCGGATCGGTTGATCCGGCGGTCCATGGCAGCAACTCCGGCCAGCGATCCGCTTTGATGGTCAATAGTGCTCTAACCAACACAGTGGCTGCCGCGGCGGCCGCAGCAGCTGCTGCAGTGGCCAGCAACACGTTGCAGCAGCATCAGCAGCACCACCAGCAGCAACAGCAGCAGCAGCAACAACAACAGCAGCAGCAACAGCAGCAGCAACAACAGCAGCAGCAGCAGCAACAACAGCAGCAACATTCACCGCAGCAGCATTTAATACGAGCGATACCTGTATCAAGGTGAGTCACTGTCCACTGTCAACTGTCCACTGTCACACTTTGCCCCTCAACTCCAGCCACTTAAAGTCCCCCTCTCAGCCTCCAAATCTTCTCATCAGAGTTCATGCGCAGGCGCGACTCGAGATAATTGCCAGCTCATGATTTCATTTCGTTTTGCGTTTGATTCATGATTTCGAGTGAATGAATATTGATTGCCTCACCGCAAAATACACCCACACTCTGATGCACAAAACTACATATGCACATATGCAGAGAAGTAATATTTCGAATTTGCTAGCTTTAAAGTTCAAAAGGGAAATATTGTCAGATCGAAGGGCTTCTAGGGCTAGCTATAAAATCATTTTTTTATTTTCCCTTTGTTCGTTAACGAGAATTTCTAGTGGGCCTAACAATATTCTAGTGAACTTTGGGGATTTATAGTTTTATATTATTATTAATAAGTTATTTTTTTGTATACCCATTAAAATCTAGTCAAAAATTTATTTAAATATATGGTTAGATAATAAGGGAGAAAATATTAAAGTTTACTTCTGGATTGTAATGGTTAGCTTGCCGCATTTAAAGTGTTTAATTTTATTTGTTTATTGGTTTGAAACGGAACACCTTGCGTTTAAACGGAACGATGTTTGTTTTTCTGAAGGCTCAGGCTCAAATAGCTGAAACCCACTGGAAATGTGGCTTCTTTAAAATTCCGTAGCTGTTGGCTGTTGGCTCTATCTATTGCATTCAGTACAGTCCAGGCTTTTGTATCGATAGCAACGCAGGTGTTTGACTGGCGATCGAGGAAAACATCAATTTTCATAGTGATAATGTCATTTATTTTCTGCAAACCCAAGTGAGAAATAGAATATTGACGAACTTAAAACTGATTTCGAATGGACATCATTTTAAATTTGGTTTTATATCTTGATAACTTACTTAATAGTATTATAACAATTTAACATGTGGATCGAAAATTTTTGGTTTAAAAGATAATACAATTTGTGGGTAGTAAATTTTAGAAACTTATTTATTGAAATACAAAATATGTAGACAAAGAGTTTAAACTATTTGAGAAGTTTTGCATTTGAATGCAATGCTTTTATACATAGAATCCTCAAAATCAATTTTGCAAATCTTCTGGCGATAGTTCACATATATGCCTTTTTATTTTCCACGTTGGTTATTGACTCTTGTGAGACTGGTTTTCTAGGTAGGTCATGGTGAATATGATTACTACGATTTGGCTTCATACGATATGGATTAAGAATAACATTTTCATATGGCATTCTCTGGGTCTGCGGGCTCATTATATTGTTGTTGTTTGTGCTGTTGTGTGTGTGTACGGGTGTGTGTGTGTGTTGTTTATTTCGACCTTTGTTGTTGTGATTTTGTAGCTGTAGCTATTGTAATTGCATGCCCCTATCTGTGTAAATCGCCGCATTATCTTATCAGCTTATCAGTTTTTCGAACCCTCCTCCAATTGCAAATTGCAGTTGGGAATCTGAAAATTAAAAAAGGCAAAAGGGGGTAGGAGGTGGGTTAATTCAGAAGGTGTTTGGCTTTTGGGGTTGCCCCTTATCTCTGAAAAAAATGTAAAGGGAAAACAATGGAAGTGTTGTGATTTTTATGAGGTTTATTTAGGGCTTTGGTTAATTGCCGGGTACATGGGTTGATGGCTAAGTGGCTGCCTTTTATTATTATCGATTATTTACAAAACAATCAATACCTTTGCATGTTTCTAGCTGCTGTAAGAAGCTTCTTAACTACATTTCTGGCTAATTTTATTACAACGCGATAAATAATTCTCTTGATGTACCATTTTTTCTTTATTAAGCAAAAATAGATTTTTCAGCTTGCATTTCATATTATATCGTTGTCAAAAATGTTCTCAAAAAATATTCTAAAAATATTTCAGTTGCTCCACAAAACTAAGAATTTTTAATTATGAAAGAACACCTTCATGTTATCAATTAAAATTCCGAATGCATTTCCATATGAATAAGAATTTACTAAATATTTTTTAAACATGTTTTTTTTTGCAGAAGATTTCATTTGTTGATTTTTTCTCTTTTCGGTTTTTTTTGTTAGCGTTCTCGTTGTTGATCTTGCAGATTTGCACATTCTTTGGCGATTTATTTAATTTGCATATATGAAAATACGCATTTCCTTTCGCACTTTGGCCAATGACTTTTGGATGTGGGATTGTTTTCTTGTGGATATTACTCTGTGGACGCGATTACTTATACGCACTGTTGCCGCCGTTCGCCTTGCGATTCGTGAATTTCCCTTCCCTCTGCTCCGCTTCTTATCAATCGGCTGCACTCTTAGTGTTTAAGTGTTCCATTCGCCTGATTTGGATTAGGATTGAAGCGCAGTATCTGCGAGAGATTACGTATAGCATTATGGATGCAGGGAACATTATGGCATACGACTTCTATCAGTTTGATTCGCTAATAGGCAAACTAGTTCCACAACTAAAATGAATCTGTTATTGCTTTGCAATGAGTAGCTTTGATGAACATATATTTCGCCAACTGAACTGGAACAAACTAAACTGACAAAGAACTTGTTTTATTTAATTAACTGTCAACAAATCGTTTATTTGTTTTAATTGTGGCTAGATTTTGTTTAATTGAACCTATTTTATATCAGTTGAAAAAAATATATTTATTTAAATACAGGTGGAGTAAAATTGTAGTCAAATTAGACTATTATAAAAAAATATTTTATTTAAATAGCATAAGGTATGTTTGGTTTTTCCACCAATGTCGTTTAAATTGCATTTGCCAAGGTTCTAGGTATATTGCATTTTTTTTCCAAGTTTTCAATCCCCAAGTAAATTTCTTTATTTTTTCAACCTTCAACTATGATGTTCACTTGATTTTTCCTGCCGACTTAAATCAAAGTCAGTCCTCGATTGAGTTCAGGCCGTTAGTTCCGTTCAGTTCCGTTCAGATCCGCTCAGTTATATTCAGTTTAGTTTGTTTGTATGGAGATGATTGTCCATTTGGGTTCGCTCAATGCATTTTAAATGCATTCGGACATTGATTGGCGCATTTGAACTCGATTTATATTTATTTTCCTATCTCTTAAAAGTAAACCTAGGTTCTAGTAAATGTTTTTTAGTGAATCAATTGCAAATGCATATGTTTTTTTTAATACATACTTGTAAATTAAAAATAAATGTAGGACACAATTCGGATGAGTTTTTGTATGTAAGGTAGGAAAAATAATTTGAAAAAAATTGAAACTGCTGAGGCGCTATTCCCATTTAAAGACTTTTAGTTATTCAGACTAAAATTATTTAATACCGAAATTTGACGACAGAGAATTATTATAATTCGTGCGTGTGTTGCTGTTGTGTATCCATGTACATGAATGTCTGTATATATATGTTAATGTATAGATCGCGGCACGCCATGAGCCACTATCTGGAGGATCTGGATCTGCTCTCGGCGTCCTCCTCCGAGGACTCGGCCACCTCGACGCCGACCAGTTTGGACGAGGACACGGGCTTTGTGAACGACAGCAACTCGACGACAGCCGGTGGCAATAGCAGCTCCGTTCCCTTTGGTGGGGTATTCCAGGCCACCGAAGCAGCCGTTGCAGCAGCAGTCAATGCATTCAACCTGCAACAACAGCAGCATCAGCAGCATCAGCAGCAGCAGCAGCAACAACATCAGGTGCAACAGCAGCAACATCAACAGCAGACCCAGCAGCAACAGTTTCAATACAACGGATTGCTGTTGCAGCAGCAACAGCAGCAGCAACAACAACAGCAGCAGCAACAACAGCAGCAGCAACAGCAACACCATCATCACCACCATAATCGTCATGGGAAGCACATCAAACGCAAGAAGCTAGAATGCAATCAAGTGGAACTGGACAACGATGATGCCTGCAGTGAGGATGAGTTTATCCGAAAGATTGCCAGTTCGGTGGCTGTCGCATCCACTGTGGATGCCACACCTCCTCCTGTCGCCGCCCCCGCAGCGGCCACGCCCTCTGTCAGCCTCCTGCCGCTCATCAGCAGCATCAGCAGCAACAGCAGCAGCAACAACGACAGCAACAACAACAACAACAATCAGACAAAGTAAGCAACGTGTTTTCTTTTGCAGCTAAAAAGAAAACAGAGTTTGCCACACAAAATATCCAAACAAGTTTTTTGGTAAATGTTCCATGACTAAATGAAATTAATTGATCGAAACTATGTAAGCAAAAATAAGGATTAGCTAAAATGTTGAGCCACAAAATATTGGTAAAAAGAGAAAAGGGTGCATTGTAGACAAACAGAATATATAAGCAAAAATAAATTTATCTACACTGCAAATTGTCTGTAGAATTGTTTTGAAAGTCGTTTTCTATAACATTTTTATTTTAAAATATTTGTATATAAAAAAAAGTATGGCAAAAACAAAAAATATTCGCTGATTTTCAGATTTCCAGTCGCTATCAAAAAAAAATTTTAAATATGTACAATTGATCGATATAATTGAATATATTGAAAATAACATATTTTGCCAAGCAAATTTGTTTAATCAAAGAGACAAGAAAAAGGTATACCCCTCAAAATTGGAACTATAAATGTTTAGTCATCAAAAAGGATGTGCGAGGAGAGGTAAAAGAAAAAATCTAGGAAAAGTGGCCTTAAATTGTTTTAGTTGATCAACAATATCTAGACAATATTTTTAGAGTATAAAACAAAAAACAAATTTACATTCCAAAATTGTTAGACACCGAAAAACAATGTGAAAAACCAAATAAAATTATTTCGGTGAAAGAATAATTGACTTTTCGCATACTGTAGAGCCAGAACTTTTGTTAGTCGCAAAGTATTTACTTAGATGGCTTTGACTTTTGTTCCTTAATAATTGCTCAATGTGTGTTTGTTTCCCGTTTATCTGTTTATATTTTTTTTTTGTTTATATATGTGCGTATGTGTCCGTTTGTAAACAAAAGCAATACAATTCGAAGCAATGGTAAACAATTGGTCAAAGCTAAGATTTATTTAAACAAAACGAACCAAACCAAACCAAACCGAACCGAACCAAATGCAAAGTGCAGCAATGAAAACTTGCGAAAAATTCCTTTTCGGCTTTTTTATGTTTCATGTGTGTGTTTGTGTGTGAGAGTGTGTGTATGTTTGTGAGTAATTAACACAGACAAAGTCATATATCATTCATTTTTTAGCTCTACATATTTAACTAAATCCGTATCTATATTCGTAGCTATGTAGCCAATATCTTTGTGTCTAAAAAAGAATTCATCTCATTTCATGCCCCAAGCATCCCTTATTTTGGCCAGCATATGTGAAAACTAAACCATAAATCATTTAACCCAAATCAAATTGAATCTAGATTTGTATTTCTTTAAACGGACAAACGAACAAACGGCCAAAGTTCAAGTACAAGACGTGCCAGACATTTAACGATCCTTAGACAAATAAACCACCAGCGTGCGATCGATCTTTAACGATCGAATGGAAACGTTGTTGTGCCAGTGTGTTAAAGACTAACACATTTCGATGATCTCAATCTAACCCGCAGATTCATATCGGCCAGGACTGTCACGCGGGTGGCCAACAAACGCCAGCCCACCACGCCGCTGAACAGCATCGCCAGCTCCAACGATGGCCAGGTGCAGCTGGAGATCGTCTCGCAGCCGGAGCAGCAGCATCGGGCCCGCTACCAAACGGAGGGCAGCCGCGGCGCCGTCAAGGATCGCAGTGGCAACGGATTCCCCATCGTCCGACTGGCCGGCTACGACAAGAACGCCGTCCTCCAGGTCTTCATCGGCACGGACATTGGCCGTGTGGCGCCGCACATGTTCTACCAGGCCTGCAAGGTCGCCGGCAAAAACTCGACGCAGTGCAACGAGAAGAAGGTCGACGGCACCATGGTCATCGAGATCGATTTCAAGCCCGAAACGGACATGACCATCACCTGCGATTGCGTTGGCATCCTGAAGGTGCGTTGCGAAACAAATATGCAGAGAATATGTATTTATTTATTTATTTACAAACTGAAAGCTTAAGGCTTCAATATATATAGTTTATTTAATTTGTCTGTTCAAGTAGAGTAAATGAGAGCTAAACTTAGAGATACATACATAGACGAATACTTGAGCTCTGAATTGTTGTGGTTATTATAAGAAGGGTTGTGTTTAAATTTGTGTTGGCAAAATCAACAGTTTTTGATTATGATTATGATTAAAATGCAGATGATCCAATATAAATTTAAGAAAGAAACACAAGTTTAAAAAACTATCAAATGAGAAAATAAAAAGCAATAGACAATAGATATTAAAATAGAAATACAATTAAATATAGTTAAATAAATAAGTAACCTTTACATAAAATCATGTAATAAGAAAATGTAAAGAAATACAAAATATGTTTTATAATAGAAATACAGTTTAACCTAATTTTATTTCTTAAATCTAATTGATGATCATTGCATCCGCAGGAACGCAATGTGGATGTGGAGCACCGCTTTCCGGAGCACCTGGCCCAGAAGAATAAGAAGAAGTCCACCCGCTGCCGAATGGTGTTCCGCACCCAGCTGACCCGCGACGATGGCACCACCGAGACCCTGCAGGTCTGCTCGAATCCCATCATCTGCAGTGAGTATAGCAAACTCATTTTATTTGTGAAATCTTCCTAAAATATATTTCCGTGCTTTAGCTCAACCACCTGGCGTGCCGGAGATATGCAAGAAGTCATTGAACTCGTGCCCAGTGGATGGCGGCCTCGAGCTTTTCATCATCGGCAAGAACTTTCTGAAGGACACGCATGTGGTATTCCAGGAGACCTACGACAGCGTCAATGGCGACGATCCGGCCACCGAGATTGCGGTGCGTCAGCAGCTCATCGGCGGAACCGCCGCCCTCTGGGAACAGAGCGTTCTGCCGGACAAGGAGTATCTCCACCAGGTGTGTGCCAATCTCCATTGAAAAATTAATGGAATTCAACCATTGTGGACGAAGTAAAGCATTGTTAATTGAATTGGGACTTTAGTAAATGTTAAACTAAATGCATTTGAAAGTAAAACAAATGTTAAAATGGGCTTAAGTTTAATTGTTGCTATCAAACAATTCTGCAACTTGATTTCATTGATTGTTTGCTATAACAATTTAATTTGTTGTTTTTGATTTGAATAACTATTTGCCATTGCCTTTGCAGACCCATCTGATTTGCACGGTGCCGCCGTATCTGCACCAGAATATCCTGAAGCCGGTCCAGGTGCAGGTGTCCATCGTTTCGAGCGGCAAGAAGAGCGAGCCGCACACGTTCACCTACACGCCCAAGGGACAGTACACGACGCTGGCGGCGGCCAGCACGTTAAGTAACACAGTCCACACCCAAGGTATCTATTTGTTGACTAAGCGTTCGTTTGCACCCAACCAACCGATTTACCAACCACAAACTCCCAGCCGGAGATCGCGAGTCGTTAGCTATGTAGAAACCACAAAGAAATAATCGAAAAACTCTTGTCAATATTACGAAAAAAAAAAAACAAAACAAACCAAAAAAAAATGAGAATAAGATACATATGTGAGGTAGGCAGGCTTAGGCAGTTATTAAAAACGTATGTTTAATGCCATTGTTAGTCTACCTCTAGTGCCTCCTCGAAGTTGACATTTTTTTTTCGTTTATTATTTTTTCAAAAACCAAATTAGCTAAACTAGAACCGTTTATGGTTAAAAAAAATATAACTATATAACAAACATATAAATCGATAAGCGATAGGTAAATCAATCTGATCTCTTCATGCGTTATTCTGTTCTTTCCTTTTCCCTTCAATGTATCTTCTATTTCTCTCTGACTCCTTCTCCCTGCTGGCTTTTTATTATATATTTAACAATTAACACGTCTGTGTGTGGCTAACCGAACAAAGAAAAGTTAACAAAATATTGCGAAATATAGGTGTTTTTCACCTACCAAAAGATGCCTACCAAAATAAGCTAAATGTGACGAATTTAAGAAAGCTATACAAGTTATTCAATCAAGATAAAAGACTGGAACGTTTCAGAATTAGCATACAATCTAATACAAGTTTCGAATATAAATCATAGTTAGTTTAAGACTTAAGCGATTACTTTAACTGAATTATCTCCATACATTTTACCTGATAAATAACTAAAAGATCTCGAGTTCATTGCCTTATCATCATATATACTAAATGAATGAAATTTCATAAATAGGCCACTAAGAAGAGAAATTTGTTGCTCATATTTTGCCTGCCACCTATTCTATTCCTTTTCCTTTCATACTTTCTACTACTTTTTCTTTTGCACCGAATAACGCATGAAAAAATCAATACCATATATTTTTAAGTAGGAAAAAAGGAAAACGAAATCCCACAAAAAAGTATAATTTAATCTATAAGCACAACCAAGAATGATAAAACAAAAAAACCTAAATTAAATTAATAACCATAAATGATTAAGGCACAGGACGGTGCAAATCTTCGGAGAATCGATTTCTCCAGTCTTCCCCCACCTCCCGTCTCTCACTCTTTCTCTCTGCCCCTCTCTCTCTTTGTCCCGTCCAAAAAAAAAAAACGACCGGAACCGGAAACTGATCGAAACAACACTGCTGAATGAATGAACTTGATTTCCCCTGCAAACGGATCCTTCGCGATGAAGAAGAATAGAATAGAAGATTTTTTTTTTGGATGTGCAAGGCACGTCAATCCGTATTGGACTCCATTTTAATATTATTTTCTGTGTAGAGAACATTTTCATCCATAACTGGAGTCGACTTTCCTTGCTATTTTTACAAGTAAAAAAAATAAAAGTTTCGCTTCCCCTGGGGGACTTTTCTTCTGGCTTAATTTACGTGTGTTTGTTTGCTTGTTTGTTTGCTTGGTCGAGTGTTTGCGCGTGTGTTTGTTTGTTTGCCTGTGTGCGTGTTTGTGCCGGGGGTTCATTGAATGAAGTGCAGAGTTTTCTTGATCAAGTTCAGCCGAGAAAAATATCCAAAACAGATGAAGGAAAGCTCAACCAGAGCGATAACATAAAAAGAAACCGAAAATAAAACGACACACGATGAATCAGCAGCAGCAGAAGCAGCAGAAAATCAGGAGGATATATCTATAAACCAGACAAGATGAACAGATCCCCCCGTAAATAAAAACCTGTTTCTCAAGTCAGGAAAGAACAGGATGTCTTAAAAACTAAAAAAAAAAATCCCCCCTCCACTATACAAAAAAACTTCCTCCTCCTCCCAAAAAAATATGCATATATATATTTTTACTTTATATTCTTCCTCCTTCCCCTTCTCTTAGCAATTTAGGTGCTCAATCTAACTATATAGTCAAATATGTAAATTTTTGAGTGCTATAAAATGCAAGGCCAAAATTAAATCCAAATTAAGTCATTAATCGACAGTCGATATAACAAGTATAGAGACACCGATATATCCTGTATCTCTCGATACATACAAACACAAAACCATAACTATAGCAAAGAGGCCGACGAAAAGCGAAAAAATTAAAGCTTGCCTGGAAAGCAACGCTGGACAAAAGCGATGATATCGATAGAATTGCAGCAATCGCTCGATAAGTGACTGCCAATCGCTTGCGTTCGATGGCGATAGATACTCACACACCCATACACGTCACACAGACACATAGAAATCTAAAAAAAAGAAATACCCAAACAAAAAGGACCTTTGGCACCGAGGAAGCAATATCCTATCCAACCCCATGGAAAATGATGACCAGCGACGGACTTTCAGCCCCATCGAGTCTTCAACAGCCACATCTGCTCATCTCTAACCCCATCTCTAACCTCCAACAACAGCTACCACAGGCATCAAGGATACTTTTAGGGTACTGGTTAAAAAAAAAAAAAAAAAAAAAAAAAAAAAAAAAAAAACCATCCAACTCTTACAGAAAAAATTACCAAAAATATTTACCGATTGACCAACGTACAAATTCTTTTTTTGCCATTTCGTAATCCATTTTTCTATATGTCTATTAATTAATACCAACACACAATACCCTACCCCCCCCCCACACACACACACAAACACCCACACATTTACCATTACTATTAACTATAAGGGAAACCCATTTCACATATAACCTTAGAGCATTACCTTTAAGCATCTATATATATATACATATATACGATATATTTGCGTACTCACATAAAGCTAACTAATTTTTTTGCCCTGTCTCTCTGTGTAGATCTTGTGATCGTAAATCGTCATTAAGTTGGGATTAGTTTATTTGCATAGATTAGTTCTGAAATTTCTTCGATTTTTGATTGGGTATGGAAAATGTTGAATTTATGTATTCACTAATTCGCGTCAAAATCGTTCATTCATAAACGTAATACATTCATTAGCTAATATTAATGACTGCATTTCCTCTCCCAGTTCCTCTGAAAATGGTATTTTCAACAAGTCTAAAATGTATAGTTTCTTTAGTACTATCTTTTCCTAAATACCAATATCATAAAAGTAGATTGTCTTAGATTTGATATATCTCTATTGTTACAATAACATTCATTGCATACCCTTTGAAGATCAGTTTCAGTTCTCCACTATCTAATCACGCAATTCATGTACAGAATTTTCAGCTCTATATGGAGACCAAAAGACCAAAGCTAAAGCTATATGGATGCATATGACAGTGTCAGACCCCAGTAAAAACGATAAACTTGAAATTATAAAAGGAAAGCTGATAAAATTAGAAAATATAAGCGGGAACTTGTTCTGAAAGACCCTAAATAAGAGGTGGTAGTGATGGGACTCGTCTAGAACGAGTGGAATTTCAAGCATTGCTCGACTTCAGAGCCTCAACATTACGCCTAGCGAACGACAACTAGCTTTAGATCAATGCGACCCCGCTTAGGAATCGAGAATTGCAGACTGGGATCATAGAAAGATGGGTTTTCTGGCTCCTAATACTAATCCATAAACACCTACAATATAAGATGTAATACTTAAGTTCAGATACTAGAAGTAGATATAAATCTATTAATTAAGTAAAAATGCTTGGAGTGTGTTGGTGTGGTTGTTGAATTTGACGACTGTTGTTGAATGATTGTGGATTTTGTGCGACTGGCGGTAAAAATGGGATGTGTGGTATAGATTCGTAAACGTCTGTCGCTCTGAGATATTTGTTAAAAAGCGGTTACCTTTTGCTTGACTTTTCTTCAGTTGTGTGATTGATCAAGGAATAACTGATTGATTGACATATTGATTTAGTGACTGCCTAGAGTCTGTCTGATCTAATTTTGATCGGTTTTGCCTTGTCAATTCTAGTGTGTATTCAATGATTGCTATCATAATCGATTTGGACAGCTTGGTGTGGTTTGATTTAGTCAGTTATTTTTGTGCGTGTCGTGGACTGAACAAATGTTTTTAAGCACACTTTGAAGACCTCTTTCGTAGCTCTCTAGTTGCTGTAGTGCCTTTTCTGAATGCCGCGTGAAAGGATTTGCCAGTGAAACAACAAAGCCAAGCATAAATACTCTTAAGAAACTAAATTTACATAGCCATCTAGTTTTAAGTAATCGTTAAGCCTTAGCTTTAAATACCACTGCCCTCGCGGAGATGGCAGATCCAACGAATTCGAGTGCTTTTCTTGAGCCATAGTTTAAGTTTGTTTTTAGTTTGTAAGTTGTAGTTACCCGAAAAGATGGGAAAGGCACTCGGATTTGGCGGATCTCTCTCTGCGATGAATACCTCCTCTCCCCCTGACTCTATCTCAGAAACCTGGCCTAGGACTAAGCGCTTCCCAAACCCCTGACCACAAAAAAAAAAAAAAAAAAAAAAAAAAAAAAAGAAATAATAATAATAATTTCTTCCCGACTGTTTTATATTACATCTTTGTTTCTTATGATTTTGAATTATGACCCACTGATCCCTGTTTCTGATTCTATTGCTTGACATGCCACCAAAATGAGATTACTAAGAGGCGTCTTGTCTGTCCATTGTTCCTCTTGTAGATGTGAGCGGTTTCATGGACACCACAGCAGCGCCCGGCGCTAGTGGCTCCAGCGGTTGGAGCGGTGCGTCCAGCGGTGCCGGCAATGTGCCACCCCAAGGTGACAATGTGGAGGCCAAGCACGAGATCGATTCGGGCATGATGCCGCCTCCGATCACCACCCAGATACCGATGGGCGTTCGTCGCTCCTCGCTGCCCAGCGTCACGCCCATGATAACGGACCAGCAGCTGGTCCACCTCAGCGCGGTGGCCGCCAGTGCGGAGGCCCTGAAGACCGAGCTCCTGGACGACAGCAGCTCGCACAGTCCGCTGACCGGCGAGTCGACACCGGACAGCCCGAATGCCGCCATGCAGTATCATCGCTTTGTGCGCAAGCCCAGCCTCGACACCATCATGTACGACCAGTCCAACAGCTTGCCCGGCTTCCCAGCCGTCGTGGCACCGGCAACAGCGGCCGCCGTGGCCGCAGCCGTCGACATCGATACGGCAGCCGTGGCCGTCGCCGTGGAGCTGGCCGTCAAGAATGAGATTGTGAAGCATGTGGTGCAGCAGCACCAGCAGTTGCAGGAGCAAATGCAGGAGCAACAGCAGCAACAACAACAGCAGCAGCAGCAACAGCAGCAACAACAGCAGCAGCAGCCGCAACAGCAACAGCAGGTGCAACAGCAACAGCAGCAGCAGGTGCAACAGCAGGTGCAGCAGCAGCAACAGCAGCAGCAGGTGCACAAATTCATCGATGAGCTGACCAAGTCCACGTCGCTGGTCACCAGCAACGGCACCAGTGAGCCGGCCCTGTTCACCACATCGGCCGTGATTGACCATGCCCTGACCGACATACTGCAGGCCAAGGTGGGCATTGCCCCGCCCAGTGTGGTGCTGGAGCGCAGCCTCTCGCTCAGCTCCACCAACTCCAGCAGCTCGCTGAGCGGCAGCGAGAGTTCGCCGAATAGTTCACCCCTCACCCAGGACATCATACTCAATTCGGAGCCGGCGGCCGCGCTGGTCGGAGCAGCTGCCTTGGGTGCCCCGGCCGCCGTCGATGTATCCGGTGGCCTGTCCACCGACATCATCATGAATCCCGCCGTTTCCCCCTCCACGATTCTGTGCTCGGCCAACGGGGCCGCCACAGCGGTGGTGCCCAACATTCTGGCGCCGCACCAGGTGACCATGGCCAACTCGATCTTGAACGACATAGCCATGCAGCCGGAGCCCACACAGCAGGATGCGGCGGTGGCCGCCTTGGCGTTGAGCAACATCATGATGAGTCCGCCGACGGCTGCCGCGGGCGTGGGAGTGGTGGACACACTGCCGCCGACTCCGGCGGCCATGCAGCCGGAGGTGGCGGCCACGGCCACCTCCACGGCGGTGAGCAACATGATTATCAAGGCGGCGGCGGACTTTATAACCACCCAGGAGCAGGAGCAGCACCACTACCATCGTCACGGCTGCGTCCACTCCCATTCGCCGCAGGCGGCCGTGGGCGTAAGCGGCAATCCGGCCGAGACGGCATCCGATCCCTTGGTCAATTTACTGCTAAACCACTCGGCCACACCGGACACAGCGGCAGCAGCCGCTGCCGCGGTGGCTGTGGAGGCGGCCAACTTCCAGTCGATGAACCACAGTCTCCATCAGCACCATGGCCATCATGGCCACGGTGTGTCGCATGGTCACGGCCACGGGCACGGACGCCACGTGTCTGGCCATGTGAACAGCCACCATCATGGCCATCACTTGCCGGTGGTGCCGCCGACACCACAAGAATCTCTGATCGTTGCGCTGGCCAGCGAGAATGCGCTGCAAAAGTCGGTGGCCACCGCCGCAGTGACCACCAACGGAGCGGTGATGACGCAGCAGGCATCTGCACCCAGCACGGCGGGCAGCATCCTGCCGGCGGCGGTCGGAGCGGTGGCTGCGGCGGCGGCCGTGGCCGTGCAGCCGCCCATTCCCCAGGAGCTGACCACGATGTCCGATCAGGATCTGATCAGCTACATCAATCCGAGCACCTTTGATCAGCGTAAGTAGAACAGAGTATAATTTGGTGTCAGTAGAAGAAACGATATGCAGTTATAGATTTTTAAAAAATTTATTTCTTTTTTAATTGAATTTGGTAAAGAAACACAAAAAACTTAATTTTGTTCGATTTTTCAAATTCAGCGGATCCAGTCTAAAGATATAGTGCTAAGGATATCAATACTTTGTCTTAAAATACAGTTAAAATATAAAACAAGATGTGTACAAAGTATCAGATAATTGAATTTAATAGTTTTCTCAGAACAAATTTACCAAAATTCGGCTTTCTAACTGTGTATAAGCCAAAAGTATTTAAATTCAAATCTATATTAAATTCTTGAATGAGTACTTATTACCGATACTAATGGGTCTAAAAAAACAGGCTTTAATAAAATCGTTTCTTTTAGACAACCATCGACCACAATATTATATGGCTAATATATTTTTCTCTAATCTTTCAGTTTAAACGGCTTTAAATCAACAAATTAAACTACGTGGATGCGTTTTTTTTTTAAATAACAATAAATGTTACTCCTACACAGGCTTAGTCTTAAGTTTATATGTAGTATCACTAACCATGTTGTATGGTTAGTGGTAGTATTTAGGCAACACACACACAAAACCACACACAATTAGACGGATTAAAGGTTTCAATGTGGACCAACTTTCTGACCAAGCGCGTACGGAACAAAATCGGAAGAAGAGAATGAAACCCACAAAAAAACACACACACACACACATTAGTAGCTGTAGCTTTGTTTACGTTTAAGAATAAACCATACTTTATATGAATACCTACATTAATTTTTTTTTTTTTTTTTTTTTTTGCTATTTTAATATTGATTTTTAAAAGAAATAATCAACTTATCTCAAAAGGTTAAGTTAAAACAATGATAACGACTGCCATATACCTACGAAACATAAATGAACTCCCTATAGTGAAGAATGAAAACTGAAAAGGAAGAATTCATATATCAACCTTAAAAATCCCAAAATTTAAAGAAAGAACTAACTTTCTAAAAAAAATGTTGATTACACTTTTAGCAGGAAGCCCTAATTTTCAAAATAAAGTCTGATTTGTAAACTTCCTTTATATTTGTTTGAGAATTTAAGATATGTTTTCTAATAAAAGCCTAGCTATATGTTATGGCGTTAAAAATTAAGCTTATTACATTTTGGGAAACACGAAAAAAAACACGAAAAGAAATAATGATTATACAGTTAATAATTTATATGAGAAAAAGTACATATTATGTGTAGCTACGAATATAATGAATATGCGAGAAATTCCAAAAGACTTTTTTGATTTAAAGAAAATGCAATTATTTTGTTTATGGTTTAATCATTTTTATTTTAAATTATATTCAAGAAACACACAAATAAAGATGCAACTAACGTTATTACTATTATAATAATTAAATCGCTATTATTATGCCTACCCTTAATGTTGATAGTTGTTATGTTTAGCTTTGTAAGCCAGAAATTGGAGTTATCCTAGCCCATTTACCATACGAAAATAAGACCCAAAAAACTGAAAACGTAAAAAAGAACAAACCAACAACCAAAACACACCGAGAAACGAATTAGAATATTGTTATACCGATTAACGATTGAATGAACTTTAACACATGTTAGGTCAACCCGAAGTAAATATAAAGATCGAGAGAACTCTGCATTTGTATGCTCTGTGCCCAACTATTTATAAACATTTACAAATATTCCAACCACGAATTTCACCCACTCCCAAGAATCGAACTAACTGAGAACGTATAACTATAAATGTTTAATTTTTTTGGTATTAGCTTGTTACATATTAAACAATTTGATTGACATACGTAATCTAGATGTTCATGGAGTCGATAAATGTGTTAAACAATCTCAGAGATTGCATATTCCTCATTAAATTAAATGTTACAGTCGAGTCAATGAACGACAGAGATAGCGATAGTAAGTGCAACTGAGAAGGAGAGAGATAGAAAGAGAAAATGAAAGAAAAAGAGAGGGAGAGAAGAGCCCGCGCTTAAGAATTGTTAGTGTTAAATGTTATACACCTAAATATACATTATTTATGCTATATATACACACATATATCTAACTTTACAATGAATAAAATAAATGTATTTTTGATGTTCTTATTGCCCAAAGTGCAGAGCCGAGAAACAACTGAAAACAATGAAGAAAACTCCCCAATCTTTGTATCCGACCTTTCAAACGTATCAATTGATAAAATTATTAACTCAAAATCCACACCACCACAATTTGTCTAGGATCCCCCCTCAAAAACAATATTAATCTGCTCGTTATCTCTTTTTATGTGAATAAAAAATGAAATCTTTCAAAAAGAACCAAAACTGTTGCATTATTATTCTAAGAGAAATGGCTGGCTGCTAATATTTTTTACATTGAAATTAAATTCAAATTTTTGACGACTTGAAATTAAATATTTATAAGAATACAACTAACTAAAGATAATATTTTTTATTGGGAATGCCAGCTGTTCAGAACCATCACTGTAATGGCTATGCGTCCGATTTTGGGCAAGATACAACAAAAAGACTCTTTGAAAATGTTTTATTTTCTTATTTCGCCAAAAACCCAAAGAGACCGCTTAAAAATCAGTTTTTAAATAAAAAACCTGGGAAATAATTGTCAGAAGTTAGAGTGTCATGCATCGTTGGATTCGTCATAAAATTTCCAATCAAATGGCATTCACAGCTAAAATTTTTCCAGGCTTTCAAATTTTGGCAAAAAATGATGATGTACCCCCTTATCAAAAATGCGAAAAATGGCCATTTTTAAGAAAACGACTTTAAAAAATCGTTTTTTATATCGAAAACAAATTTTTTTTTCGAGAAATCGATCGGGATGGATTTTATTGGTCGCCAGCTGTACAAAACAGTCACTTTTATGGCTATGCGTCTTATTTTGGTCAAGTTACAACAAAAAGACTTTTAGGAAATGCTTTATTTTCTTATTTTGCCAAAAACCCAAAAATACCGTTCAAAAATCAGTTTTTGAATAAAAAGCCAGGGAAATAATTGTCAGAAGTTAGAGTGTCATGCATCGTTGGATTCGTCATAAAATTTCCAATCAAATGGCATTCACAGCTAAAATTTTTCCAGGTTTTCAAATTTTGGCAAAAAATGATGATGTACCCCCCTTATCAAAAATGCGAAAATTGGCCATTTAAAAAAAAAATGACTTTAAAAATCGTGTTTTTATATAAAAACAAACTGAATTGTTTGTATTTCGATCGGGATGGATTTTATAGGTCCCCAGCTGTAAAAAACAGTCACTTTTATGGCTATGCGTCTTATTTTGGTCAAGTTACAACAAAAAGACTTTTAGGAAATGCTTTATTTTCTTATTTTGCCAAAAACCCAAAAATACCGTTCAAAAATCAGTTTTTGAATAAAAAGCCAGGGAAATAATTGTCAGAAGTTAGAGTGTCATGCATCGTTGGATTCGTCATAAAATTTCCAATCAAATGGCATTCACAGCTAAAATTTTTCCAGGTTTTCAAATTTTGGCAAAAAATGATGATGTACCCCCTTATCAAAAATGCGAAAATTGGCCATTTTTAAAAAAACGACTTTAAAAATCGTGTTTTTATATCAAAACAAACTGAATTGTTTGTATTTCGATCGGGATGGATTTTATAGGTCCCCAGCTGTAAAAAACAGTGACTTTTATGGCTATGCGTCTTATTTTGGCCAAGTTACATCAAAAAGACTCTTTGAAAATGTTTTATTTTCTTATTTCGCCAAAAACCCAAAGAGACCGCTTAAAAATCAGTTTTTAAATAAAAAACCCAGGAAATACTTGTCAGAAGTTAGAGTGTCATGCATCGTTGGATTCGTCATAAAATTTTCAATCAAATGGCATTCACATTTTCCCATTATGTGCATTGTCCGAGATTTTCTTAAGATTTTGTCCAATTTTTTAGGTATTGAGTTTTAAAATCACTTAAAAGAACACCTTTTGCACACCTATGACGGAATCTTCCAAAATAAATGTTAAATAATTGTTGCATACCTTTATAGCCTCTTTCAAAACGATGGTGATTTTTGTGGCACTCCCAAAATTCAGTAAAAACTTTGAAGCCATCTTGGGCTGCATGTTTGGGCCAATTTCGTTTTATAGGAATAGGTGTATAGGTATTTACTTTATAAGGTCGGGGTCGGTTGGTGCCTATACGGTATACGCTCATAACATAAACAGACGTACCCGGAGTGTAGGTCTGGTAGGACCCTCCGACTACTCCTCCACGTACTAAATTTCGGTGCGAATCAGTCGAGAGAGCTAGCAATCGAATCGGAATCGGAATCTGATTCGGAATCTGATTCGGAATCGGATTCGGACTCGTACGGATGGGACAGAATACTACCACCACCACTACGCTCCCTAGAGAGCTGAACTGGGCTGAGATGGTAAAACGCCGAGATGCTGCGAGGAGAGGGCCGAGATGACCGACGTGTTGGGATGACCGGGATTCGGGACTCGGAATTCGGAGCTCGGAATTCGGAATTCGGTATTCGGAATCCGCAGTTCTTCGGTTGTGCGGCTGCGTCGACCCCGCAATGGCAATCGTTTTTCGCCTTTCGCCTTTCGCCTGGCCTGCCCAAATCCTGCAGACGTGTTCGAGAGCTTTAGAACGTTGTTTGCAATTGCGGAAAGCGGTAGCGAGGCAAGAGACACGGTGATAGTTTCAAACTGAAAAGAGTGCAAGATGCAAGAATAGCCGAGTTCGAGTCAGTGGAGCAATAGTTAATAGGAGAATAATCGGAATTATCGGAATAATCGGAGTCGGCGCCCCAAAGATCCATCAAATAGTCGAGAAATAACACAATTATTACTGTCAGGCCAGAACAGAACCGAGCAGAACAGAGCAGAAAAGAACAGAACAGAACGGAAGTAGTAGAAGTAAAAGTAAAAGCCTCGTTTTCCAAAAACATCATCCATAACCAACCACACACTGTGAACGAACATTAAATGAAAAACGCCGAACGGGTTGGCCAAAATGTGAAAATCCAATTCCAATTGCAAATCCAACAAACAAATTATCCAGAATCAAATGATTGATATACATATACGTGTATGTAGCAGCAACGCAAACCAAAAGCAAAATCGGTTACAAAAACCAAACTCATTTTAATCAAATATGGGAAAAATAAATATAGAATAAGTATATATACATATATATGCTGAAAGCAAGAGCGAAAGCGAAAGGAGAAAAGATCATAAAATACATATTTTATGAAATTTTTTTGCATATTTTTTTTACTGTTTGGCCAAAAACTAAACTGAGTGTGTTCATAAAGCAGTACAATGTAAAATTAAACGGAAGGATACATTTAAACGCAAGGATAACAAATACATAACTAGTTTAAACGACTGTGACTGTGACTGTTTCAATGGATTCGAGTGAATTTTCTGTAATTCCGTAGGTAAGTCGAGCCCAGATAAGGCACATAATGATTTTTTTTTTTCATTTTTTTTTTTTTTTTGCAATTACGTACATGTGTACTACACTTGTATGTACAAATATTTCTTACATATAGACGCGTATACACGAGAAAAGTGTGGGCAGGCGAAAATGTTGCCCAGGTGATGTGCAAAAGGGCAGATGGAAATGGATAGGATAGTAGTGTAGAAGGGCACTATTGCGAAGGGAAATGTGTGCTTTGGCCAAAAGTAATACCACAGCCCAGCATACTATTATTGCGAATATAGTGGGCCCCAGCTCGACGGCTCTTGAACGGAAACGAGGCGCGGCTGACTGCGCATGACCAATGAATAATAGCGATACAGAAATGCTTTTATATCCTATCCCACACTTTGTATTCCAATGCATATTCAGCATGCCTCTCTCTTTACATATCTCTGTCCCTCTCCCTCTACCTCTCCCTCTCCCGCCCCCTATCTCTCTGGCATCTCTCTCTAGTGCATTGGCACGCTGCGAAGAAGGAGTTGCAAAAACGATTTTTCGGATTACAATTTACTAATTCTCGGTGGAAGTATGTAAAGTGTGTCACGCTTTCTTAAAGAACGTGTGTTTTTCTTGTGTCCTGTGGTGGGGCACATTTATCCACAATTACTCTGGATATCTGGACATCCTGGACATCCTGGGCATCCTGGGCATGCGTTGCCATTGACCCACCTACCCCAAGCTCTGCACGGTGAAAAATATCAACAATTTTCAGCCATCGGCATCAGAAACTTGACAAAGAAATGCCGCCACCCCAAATTCCCGTGTGTAACAATTTGTTGCCTTTGCATAAAACTCGTTTGAAATTCAATTCAGAAAGAACGTTCAATTGTGAAAGCTTACTTTTATATGTGCTCAAGAGTGAAGTGTTTTTACTGACTAACTTTAATGCTCAATATGAAAAAAAAAAAAGGACTTGGTCATGTCTTTTTCAAAGCACATAAGGCAAAAACAAAGTATTTGGAAGATTGCCTTAAAGTCAACAGTGTTTGAGATTTTACTTTAAGTGGCAACGCCCAACACTTGGCGATCTGGAACAGCTGACAGTTCCTGCTGTCAGATCGCGCTCTCTGTCACTCTCTCGTTAAAGTAGATGCGGATATAAGGGGGTTCTCCCGAATTGACTACACATATACAAATTATTTTATTTCAACAAAAACAATTTACAAAAAATAAACGACGCGACATTTTCCTATAGTAATCCAATTTAAAACAAATTAAAATCGTTTTTCTAAAAAAGCAAACGAAAGTGAATGTTTCTGGTTATTGGCTTTCAAACTGTAATTGACCGACGGACAGATCTGGTAGCGATTATATACAAATACGCCCTAAGGTCGCAAATGCCAAAATTTTAAAACCCCCAGCTATCGAAAAGTCAAATTTGTTAGTCTTTATATAAATGTTAGTTTTTTTTTCACATTAAAATATATGCATTTATATAGCCATTTATAAGCATTCCTAATGGGTTTTTTTCTGTTTCCTTTATTTGCATCTAAATAAAAATGTAAGTTAAAAAAGTTTATTGCATACATGTATTCCTTTTGCACATATAAACTACTGAAATATTGAACCATTTAAAAAAGATTATATGGATTTTTTAATAAAAGTTCAAGGGAGCACATTTAACCTGGCCACTCAAGGAATTTTAGTTTTGGTAAATGTTTATCTTAAGGATGAGTGTTATTTTTTTTATTTTAAATAGCCTATAAATAAATTTCAAACTCTACATTACATTATTTAATAAAGTTCTTTATTTCTATATTAAATCCTGCGTGTTTTTGCAAACTAAAAATTATTTTTTAACCTCGATTTTTCAAAAGAAGTTTTGTAATTTACTTCATAGGGTCGGAAGTAGTTTTAAACTTTCTTACTGACTTCTGAACATAACTACAAAGGCAACACAAAATTTGCCTTATGTTATTTCCAAAGTAAAATTTATTTCAGCAGTTAAGAGTTTAAATGCCAATAAGAAATCGATATTAAATGGCTTCGCTTTTCTAGGCTTAATATTAAACCGGTATTATCTAAAATTAATAATCGTCGGTATCGAATTATAACTAAGGCGTTCTTAAAATACTTCTAATTATTCTTTAACATGTTTTTTTTATTAGCTTATTGCCAATATAATGCCTCTGTTAAAAATTGTTTTAATATACCTAAGTAATTGGTAATAAATTGCGCTTTCAACTTTAATGTTTAGCTCTATGCACTTACGGCAGCTGCATCGTTTACAGATAGCTTACAGTATTTATTTCATTTCGTTTTAAATTTGTATAATAATTATTTGATTTCGTTTTTAATTTGTACAATAAGGATTAGCAAATCTAAAATATGGAATACAATTCGCAAGAAAAAGCCATTTGATTCTAAGTCATACAATCGGTCTTAAAGTAGCCATTTGCTCTTAACATTTTTCTGTGTACGTTTACGTCTTTTAAAGTTTGTTATGTGCTTAATGCGTACAACTTTAATATTTTATGGAATCAATACCATTCTTAGCAATAAAAACTTTTCAACAATGAGTTGGACAACTTAAAAACGCTTACGTGCAAAAGCATAGGATTGAGTTTTGAATTCTCAACTTGGTTTGAAAAAGGAAAAACAAATTTGTTTTGCGACAGTGGACAAGGTGTTGTTATTTTTGTTATAAAATTATGAAGACATAAGAAATTTTATTGGCCAAGAGATTCATACACATGTGCATCCATCTCTGGCGAGCTGTCTAGTCGGAGGCTGCGCAGTCGCGAGAGAGCTGACTCTCGCGTTCTTCTATTTCATCCCTTTATTTATTTATTTTCTGCCAGCCGCCGCTGTCTGGTGTCTGCCCAAGGTTTCTACCGCGAACGCCCTCGACACCAAGAAAATATCTGAAAGTTATTCAGAGTTTGAAAGCAAAAGACTAAAAATCACGGTTATTCCAACTTAAAAATAAATCTGTAAAAATTAAATTTACAAACGGATTGTTTAGACTCAGGGCTTGTTTTCTTTGTCAATGTCCCATGTTCAAAATAAAGCTATAACATTAATTTTTTGGGCTTTGAGGGAATATTTTTTAACGTACGAATTGTTATCGTGTATCTTAAATTTTGATAATGTCGTCAAATTTTGTCGAACCTGAATCATGGACACACATACACACCTTTGTCGATTTAGTTTTGTAAGCCAGTGTTATCTGGGTCTTGTTTATTTTATTGAAAGGTGGCTGTAAAAAAAGGGATATGTATGAGCATTTCAGCCAACAGTTTCACCAAGTAAAACTAAATTCAAAGTTTAAGTAAACAGATTTGTATAAGATTTTGTTTGTTTTCTAAAATCACGAAAACTCAACTAATCTAAGCGACTTACATATAATTTACATGAGATAATTGATTTATATCAGAAAAAAGTATTAAGGTTTATGAGTATTTTTCTTTTTTGTTTTTTTTTTATTATTTTAGAATTAATATGTGATAACATTTGGTTTCACGAAACCTCTATTACAAATTCAACTACTTAATTAAAAACAACAAAACTTTTTATCACTATTAGCTACGATTGGATAAAAGAAAATATATATATAGACGTTAAAATTGTATTTTAGCGATCAGAGCCTTTAGCCAATAAAAATAAACACAAATGTACATAAAGAGTGTTAATAAATACTCGAGACAAAACTACGTATAGTACTTTCTTTTCTACTCTATTTACTCTACTTTAGACCACATATGGGAATGATGTTTTCCTAAGTGTATTCTTTATTCTAAACCTAAATCTGATAACATAACAGTTTCTTACCCTTTTCCAGCACCCACAATATTGAAGTAAAAATGAAAAGATAATTATGAGTTTATGGATTGTTATTTTGTATATCTTATATGCATCTTTTTTTGAACTTGCAAGTTGGGGGAACTTGTTGATTAAGCCACATTATAATATTATTAAATATATTTGTTTATTGAAACAAAAAATTGGGAAAATATATGTGATTGACGATAGTTTCTTTCTACGAGCTTATAAAATCAAATCAAAAAGTGTTTTTACACTTATATGTGTTTTTAATATTCTTAAAATATATTGTCTAACTTTTTACTTACATTTTTGATCAAACAGTTTTATACTTATTTGTTGATTGTGGATACAATATTTCTAAATATATTGCCTGAAAATATATTCTTCTTCTTGTCAAAGTTGGTCTTCCTTTCTTTACTCAAAATTTCTGTTTTAACACGGCTTCGAGATTGTTTTTGACATTTTCTGTGCTCTATATATTTAATTCATTTATGATCCGAAAAAGGTAAACATAGGCCAATGTTTCGGGCTAGCACTGTAAGCTATCATCCCGAGTAAATTCATTGTAATTGCGCATGTAAAAGCGAACTATGAATGTAAACAAAGATACGGTCCCTTCCACCGCAAAAACTGGGTTCTGTTCTGCTCATCAGTCTGTGCAAATCCATCCGCGAATACGATTGCGAAAATTCTATGGTCAAAAAATTCGGTTTCAGATCAAAGTTGCCGATAAAAATAAAAATTGTAAGGTGTTTTAAGTTCCGATAGATTTGTCTGAATCCAAACTCAAAACAGGTAATAAGTGTAAACTGAGTGAATGATGGATTTGATGCAAGCTTGCAAACCTATTTTTGAAACTATTCGCTGCCATTCGCTGATGCATTTGCAATCCGCTTTCTTACCGCCTAATGAATATTAATTAATTAATAGGATTTTTCTGCTAATTGAATCTTCTTTCTACAATTTCTCTGTCACCGCTAAATGTCTGTCCTTGCCTAATTAGCGCAAATTAAAATTGTCGGCTGTGGCCTCGGTGGCGCTCTTCACTGTCCGGTCCCCAACATTCACATTCACATTCACCTTAGTGCCCAAGTGGCTTTTCATTAGTTTCGGTTGAGCAATTCGCTAATGCACAGCTCTAAACAGATTTAACGCAAGCTTACCGCAAAAACTTCGAGAATCTCGCTTAAAACCAACTAAACTAAACTAAACTCCATTTCAAAGCAAAACCTAACAAAAAAGACCACAGATTTGCTCCACTGTGAGAAAAACGGAACTCAGATTGAAAAAATGTTTCTTTGGCATATATAAAACCTCCTTGGTAATACAATGACAATTCTACGAAATGGAAACAACAAAGTTTTTCCATTTTATTATACCCAGTTCCAGGTGTAAGCATTCCAGGAATATGCAATATGCTAAATTCATTGGTATCCGATTTTCTGAGTAAAATTTGTGTTCATATAAATCGCATCAAAAAACATTAAATCTTCAATTGAATTACAAAATTCAATTGCTTTAAAATAAGCTTTCGTGAGTGAAAAGCGAACTTTTCATTCAATCCGCCAACAAATTAAAACTACAAATAAATACGCTGCCCTAAAAATATTATCCATCAAGAACAGTTCAAAAAAGAACAAATCTATCTGGCGCAGAACAAAATGAAATTCTTATTCCAATACTAAATAAAGATATGCAAATTTCAGAGTATTTCTCTTTTTTTTCGAAATTAAAAACATTATATTCTAGTAAAATAAAAAAGATACAAAAATTGTTTTACTACATAATGTAAAGGAAATGCAACTGCAAAATATTTAAGTGTTTGCGTATAATGTTTTTAGTAATCAACAGATATAGGAAAAACAGAGAGAACCTAAATTGAGTTTAAGTTCTACACATGAATAAAAAAGAAAACCAATTCGGGTCTCTATTTAAGTTAAAGAATAAATAAAATTTAGTTTTAAGTTCAAATCGTGGTTTTACTCTGATTGATAGACATTTTAAATTACAAATTTCGATTCTAAGGTACAGAAATTTTAAAAAGTTCTTATAAATAAAATTTAAAATTCTTATTAATAAATTTTTAATTTTTTGTCGAAAATATTTCCACCTCACCTCGGGAATTTTCGCAATTAGACACAAAGTATAAATTTCTATATTAGATTTCGTTTTTAGTGATTTCTAGCAATCAAATACTTTTTCGGAATATCATATCTCAAGATTTCTTCCATGGAATAGTCTCTCATTGAAAATTTTGGAACCTAATGTGTGTGACCTAATATATATTAATTTAGTGTATTCACCTACTGCTAGATGTTAGCTAATAACTTATAATAATAGCAATAACTTATTTTAAGGAATGACTGTTTTATGGAGCTCTTAAGTTTGTCTTCCGTAGATACCCTGATCTCTAATATATTTACATAATTTTTTTTGCAGCGTCAAAGGACATCGCGTGCTTAGAACTTACGGCGGATTTTGATGCATTTTAACCCAGCTGCGGTTGTTTTAAAAAGCCGTTGTGGCATACGCTCCAAAGTGTGAATATTAGATTCGAATTTAATATAATTATCCTGCTAGCTTGTTTATTTTGCGAGCTTCCTTGAGTCGAATCGAGTGAGTTCGTGTGATGAATGCACAATCCCAGCCGAGTCTGAAAGCCATTAACACCCAAGCCTCAGGCGCACTGTAGCCCCAATCGGTTATATCGCCACCAGTCGGTCAAGAAGGCCAAACCACTGCCACAGACAAACACACACAGAAAACAGAAAATCAGCTTAAAAGCAGCTAAAAAGCAGCTAAAAAGAAAAACAGCTGAACAGCTGAACAACATAAAACCACATAGAACAACACTGGAACTCAGCAAACCCCAAGGAAAATTGTTTGGCTGTTGCGATGGATTACTAATGCTAAACGGAGTACTGCAAATCAATTCAAGGCCTGCGGCTGCCACAGATAAATACAGATAAATACAGATAAATACTGATAAACACACTACAGGAGAGAAGTTAACTAACAACTAACAAACGGATATTTTTAAGCACCATAAAGTACCATATGAAGGCAGTTTTCTATAAATTATTACTGGAAGGAATTAGGAGAGAAAACTAAGACTTAGAAGTGGGGCTGGATTCGACAACTTCACTTTTAATCACAACCTTGCGGCCGCCGTCATGTGGATACAAATCGCCTATTTAATCCTCATCATTGCTCAGCTGTGCGCTTTTGTCACATCTGCAGGTGGTGAGTAGACTACTTTATAAATGACCTACTCCTTAAAGTCGTGGCCCTCCGACAATCGCAAATAGTTCGGGATACTGACGTTTTTTAATTCTTTTCTCATAATATTTAACATTTTATACGCGTTCAATTTGATATTTTAACCGAATTCCATTGCAACATATAGCGTTAAGAAGAGTATGAGACAAAATAATAACCACTTTTTATAGATATTTAGAGTCCATGTAGCATCTGTGCTACAATTAAAAAATAGTATGCTTTACTTTAGTTTAAACCAGACTGGTTTTATTTTGGACGAGTGTGGAAACTGTACGAATGGCCATCCGAACAAGGGTATATAATTGATTACTAAACTGTTATTAATGCGGCTTGCACCTTGGATATTGTAGGGTTTTAGAATTCCTACGCTTTACCGTAGCATACGAAATTCGGCAAAGCGTTTGGATTCTGAAACCCTACTAGTCCATTATCTTTTTATTCAAAAATAAAACAAGCTAAAAGTTTAAAAGTTTTCTTTGTGCATACGAGGGCGGGTTAATAAGTCCGTGGCCAAATATCTACAATTTTCCCCCAGTAATCGTATAGCTAGGCAAATTAAATTGAAAAGATACCTCCGAAAAAAATTCTCCCTTTTCAACGAATACTAAATCCAATTTGTAATCCAAAACAAAAAAAAAACACCTAAAACAAAGTATTAATTTGTAACCAACCAATATTTGTTAGCTCATATTTTAACGTATCCGATAGCATCATCAAAATCACTTAGTTCAATAGAATATGTATCTTGTGGATTACAATTAAAATAACTTAACATTGTCTTCTTGCAGAAGCAGATTACACACTAGATGATTCGTTTTGGAATGAAGAAAGTCCTGTTGGTGAGTATTAAATTCATTACAGTGCCCTATCCCGTCCACATAGACTTATATTTTACTTAGAAGTTTTTAAGACATTTTAAGAGTACCCACAACTTTCCAAATTCCAATCCAGTTTTCAATACATTCAATTCATTTTAAACAAATTTCATTCTTCGGTTGAACAACATTTAACGCTTTTGTTTGTCTGTCTTTTGTTTTAGGTGAGGTGGAACGTTTACTTAAAGAATACAGGCAAAATCAAGAGCTTGTCCGTCGAATCGGTGGTCATTATTACCAAATTATATACCCTGTACAGCTGCGCCATCACGAAAAGATGGGCATATCTACGCGTGAAGTCAGTCTCCCAAAGGTAAGAAATTGTCATATAAAAAATATAGATCCACAAGAAATTATTGCAAATGAAACGTTGTATCCAATAATTAACTGTTAATAGAAGAGGGAAGAATTATTAATTGAAACCTGTTAAAAAAGCTTTTTTTTTCAATTTTGATTATAACTAAATTTTGGACATTTTACGTCTTGTATATTTTGCAGCCGGGACAAAGACCACGACCACACGACGACAGTGGATTTAACAGGGGAAGAACAAAGGTAAGTTCTATTGCCCCAGTGACTTAAAATAATATTTCGAAATATTTTAGGTAGCCTTTTGTCATTGCTTTAAGTTTTTTTTTTGTCTCAAGCCAATTTTTTTGTTTTTCATCTGCAAAACTATGTAAATAAAAAACAATTTGAATATTCTATATCGCTAATAGAATTGATCATTCAGCCCATTTTAAATTGCTTCAAAAATATTACATTTTCAATTATGTATTTTTCATTAGGTTCTTAGTAATTATTAAGCTTACATTATTGTTTCAACTTACAGAAACACTTCCATCGTACATCGTTGCTAATTAAAGCATTTAATCACAAATTCCGTTTGGACTTGGAGCTTAATTCGTAAGTTATTGGTAATTTATTGTGCGGAAAATACAGTGATATTCTTGTACTTTTATTTTCCAGGCAACTTCTTTCTCCAAACATACAACAGAAACATTACCACGTGGGTGGATATCTTGTGGACGGAAACCGACATGTGAGTTAAGGTTTCAACATTTCAAGAGCTTTACTAAGTAAACGTAAACGTAATGCAATAAAACGGGAAAATATGCAAATAGCTAATATTTTCACGTTATGTTAGACTTTCTGAATATAAATTGAATTTGCTAAAGCGGAATGACAATCATATTGTTTTGTTTGATACATTTCAAACTATAATTGTTTGGTATTCGAATCTGTTAAAAATCAGTTTACAGTGACCACAGGTTAAAAAAAAGGTGTTGTTTTAGCGAAAATAAAAATGTCAAATGTCATTTTTTTAAAGTAATTTTTATTTTTCAGATTTGTTTTATTTGCTCAAAAATAATTACTATTCCTGAAGCACAATTAACATACAAGCATCAACAAATACTCATAAATATTGAAATAAAACGTTGATTATTAACCATTTGGTCCTTCAACATTTCGACAGGATATCGAGCACTGCTACTACCATGGGACCGTGAAGGATTATCCTGGTGCCAGCGCTGCCTTTCACACCTGCAACGGAGTGAGTGGCGTCATCCACATTGGTAACGAGACATTTGTCATCCACCCCTTTTACGGCGGGGATCTATCGGTAAGGGCATGTGGTTGGCACGACATTCCAGTGAGTTAACGAATAGTTACTCGATTTGCGCACAGAAACATCCGCACGTCATCTTCGAGGCGCGCACAAAGGCCAACAAGGGATGCGCCAACTCGGGAAACTTGGACTCGTGGCGATTGTCGCGTCGCACCAAGCACTTGTCCGCCGGAGTGGCCGGAGTGGTCGAGGAGATCCTACAGGGTGGTGTTGGACGCAATAAGCGGGACGTCAGGGAGGCCACCAAGTACATTGAGACGGCCATCATTGTGGACAAGGCCATGTTCGACAAGCGAAACGGCAGCACTCGAGCGGAGGTCATCCACGATGCCATACAGGTGGCCAACATAGCCGATCTGGTTAGTATTATTGCTAGCTGTCAAAGGTCGCCTCCAAAACTACATGACTACTTTACGCTTGTCTTTCAGTACTTTCGCACCCTCAATACCCGTGTGTCGGTTGTGTACATAGAGACCTGGGGAAAGAACCAGGCAGTTATCGATGGCAGCAAGGATATAAGCAAGGCCATATCCAGCTTCAACGACTACACCTCGAGGAACCTTTTCCAAATTGAGCGAGACACAACGCAATTGCTCACGTAAGACTGAAGCCACATCCCATTTTTTATACTTGTAACACATATGTACATACTAGGCAGAAACCACTTTTGTTTTTGCTTAAATCGACAAACTTGTGCAGTAAACTTACTTAAACAAAATGTTTTTTGTTGCATTGCATTGACAGTTTACTTAACCACAATACTTGTCCCTTAAACAGTCACTGTGCATTTATAAATCCCAACTGGTTCGTTCCAGACAATTTGAATTCAGTGTAAATTGATAATCATTATGTAATTTAGTACGTAACATTTACTGTCAATAACAGTAACGTTTTGATCAATTCAATCAACAATTGGTTAATTTTTCAAAGGAATTGCTTTCTCAGTGGCAATACTGAAAAATGCCTTTTGAAACAACCTTCTCCTGGCAATTAAGAATAACTAAAACAAAAAACTTACCCCATCGATGAGTTTTTCAAAATTTTTGTGATTTTTAAATATACTTTATTTTGCGACTACAGCGGTGAAACATTTGCGGGCGGGGAGGCTGGCATGGCCGTTCCCGAAACTGTTTGCACGCCCCGTGCTGTGGGCATCAGCGTGGATGTCAACGTGTACGAGCCACACCTACTGGCGGGAACAATGGCACACATGATTGGCCATAACATCGGCATGGGACACGACGACGGACGTAAGAATTATCCATTTATATGCCATATGCTATTGTTCACCAGCACAAAATCCAAATTTTTTTTTTGAATTTTTTCCCGTAGGCGAGGAGTGCTTCTGCCGCGACTGGCATGGCTGCATCATGGCCCAGTCGATTGTGGGCCAGGAGAATGTGCAGCCCTACAAGTTTTCGGAGTGCAGTAAAAAAGATTACATTGACGCATTGCGGACTGGCCACGGATTGTGTCTGCTCAACAAACCGAATGAGGTGGGCACTTAATAAGTTTGGCGCTTTCGTTACCCATACTTTGATCGCATACTTTCCATTTTTGAATTACAAATATTATGTGACAAATGTGATTTTCCCTGAAATAGATTGAGCTGCGCCGTAACTGCGGAAACAAGGTGGTTGAGGAGGATGAGGAGTGTGACTGTGGTACCTTCGAGGAGTGTGCTCTGGACCCCTGCTGCGATGGCATCACCTGCAAACTAAAATCAGAGGCACAGTGTGCCAGTGGGGCATGTTGTGACCAATGCCGCGTAAGTTCTTCATTTGCCTTCACTCACATATACATACTTTTGTAATCGAGTTATATCAACCCCTTTGCAGCTGCGACCAAAGGACACAATTTGTCGTGACTCCAACAATGAGTGCGATCTTCCTGAATACTGCGACGGTGAAATTGGCCAATGTCCTTCCGATGTATATAAGAAAAACGGATCCCCATGCGGACACACCAAGACTGGCATTTCCGGTCAGTAAACTACTTAAACTTAGTGCGTACATCAACGATTCTAAGATTTGTCTTTCTATCTGTTTAGGTTACTGTTTTCAAGGATATTGTCCCACGCTGAGTTTGCAATGTGAGGCGATTTGGGGTTACGGTGGATCCGCTGCGGATCGTCAGTGCTATGAGCAATTCAATTCCAAGGGCTCCATCAACGGACATTGTGGACGAGATGCCAATGAGCATTATATAAAGTGCGAACCCGAGTAAGTGCAAATATATATATATAAGAGCCTTTAGGTCGGGACGTAAATCTCATGGGACTGGGGTTGAAGTAAATATTCTTTTTTTTTTCTTTTCTTTTGTTTTTTTTTTTCTTCCATTAATTGTTTGTTTGTTTTTTTCTTTTCTATGGTGTATATTGAAACATCCTATATATTTATATCAACAGGAACGTTCAGTGCGGTACACTGCAGTGCAAGGATGGCGAACGGCAACCAGTTAACGATGGGATCGACCAGCTCTACTCACGAACGATCATCTCGATCAAGGGACAGGAATTCGAATGCAAGTGCGTAGCAAATAACCATAACCATCAGGCGATGCCGGCCGAGTAAAGGTGATGTTCGGATCAAAATAGTCTCACAACCGTTTGAGTATTCACAGGGCGACCAGCGGGCAGGTGGGTTCCAATAGCTACCCAGAGCACGGCCTTGTCAAGGACGGAACTCCGTGCGGCGATAATTTGATTTGCCTGAACCAAACGTGTGTCAGTTTGTTCCCCCACGTGGATCAGACCAAGTGCCCGGCAAACACACAGGGTCAAGAGTGCTCAGAACATGGTGTAAGTTCATAAATTGTGCCATCCTTCTACCGTAAACATGTAGAACTCTTGGGCATGCACATCCATATATCCATATATCCATATATCCGTATATCCGAATATCCGTATATCCGTACATTCGTACATTCGTACAATCGAACACGAACGAAAGCCATTACCACGACCACACTCTGCATATTGCCATTGCAGGTCTGCACTAACTCAAATCGCTGTTTCTGCGACATGGGATGGGGCGGCAATGACTGCAGCTCCGTCGTTCTGCTCACCACGGCACTGCCAACCGAAGCACTGCCCACCCCGGAAAACACCATCAAGATGGAAAAGAAAGAAACCCCATATGGTAAGAAATAGTGTCTATGGCGTCGGGTTCCACGATGCTTGTATCTTACCTTGCGCCAGCTGGAAGAGACTAAAAGAACAAATGAACTAAGCTAAATCAATTGAATGATATCCATATCCATATGCATATCCATATCGGATGGAATTGAACTGAACTGAACTGATTTGAACTGGTCTGATGAAATTCAAACTATTCTATCTTAAGTACTTAAATGCTAGGAGCGCTGCCTGAATTAAAAATATATAAAATATATAAATATTATAAAAACCGAATACCATTAGAAAAATAAAAAAGCACTAAATAAATTCAAGCAGGGCTCCATTGAATACCAACTAAGTGTTGTTGAACAAGGTCACTTTTGCCTAATTTAATGACGTCGGCAGCTCACAATTGAATAATTGGGTGCAATCTTATGCAATTTAGCTTTGCTACTTGTATGACAATGGTAGTCAGGTAATTTTTCATTTTGACAACTTACACAATTTACAACATGTAATACTCTTGTACATTGCAATCCCAATTTATAAATTGATCATTTAAATGAGTTCTTAACGTCTTCCTTTATTTTTGTACAAATTTATTATATTAAAAGGGTTAAGCGATGAGTGTTACTCTCACAATAATATACTTCGTCCTAAAAAATTAAAAGGTTAATTTATCAAAATTCTCAAGAAGAGCCGAAATGTATTGGCTGGGAATAAAATTTGCACAAGATATTTTATTTTTCTATTTTTTTCTTAAGCATATGTTTTCTTTTCTCTTTTTTTCTTAAACATATGTTTTATTTCCTGGTGTTTGAAGCATTCATTCCAATGGAAGCTAACTTTGGAAAACTTAGTTTTTTTACCCTCGCAGCACAAAGAATAGAACATTTTTTAGACAGTTTCGCTGTCAGCTTTTTGATACCCATAAATATGTATCATAAGGTAAATAACTAAAAATATCTTTCTAATATTGAAAAAAAAATCAAACCGGTAAGAGATATACCCAATATCTCTATTATTTGGAAGATCGCTTCCAAGAAAGCTTCGGAATATAATCGTCTGATTTAATCTGCGTCTAGAAAAAAACATATAAGAACTTTCAAACGTTGTACGCGAACAGAGAGAAAATCATATATATTTTGATTTATTTATTTTTCGAGCATGTTATAATGTAATTTAAAGCCGCATTACGAAAACTGGCGCATATATATTTATATACTTTGATTAAAAATAAAACGCAACCACCATTTGCAGGCACCTCTGACCAAAATAGGATCAGCACATTAACCATGGTCATCATTTTAACAGTTATCGTCAAATGTGTCTTCATTAGTTTTGCAACACTGGCCGTTTGCTACAGGTAGAGTACCCAGCAAGTCAAGCTCCTCCTCTTATGAATTTAGCAACACTACCATCACTACACATAAGTTATACAAGTACATTTTAATATGGTCAATGTCTATTTTGTTGTCAATCAATTAAGCAGGATACATTTCTATTCAGTCTAAAGCGTACTTTCTGTTTCACTTGAACATCTCTGAAAGTGATAGCTCTATAAACTCCATTTTCCAGAGTAGATAATCAGTTAATTAGTTAATCAAAACAAAGTCAATTAATTTTTGAACATTGTCTATTTACACAAAAATATTGAAGAAATTTGTTGCAAAATTGAGTCATTAATATTTTGATTAAAGGCAACAGTACGGATGAGTGATATTCAATTAAACTGTGTGATACTCATACGTACTGTTGCCTCTAATCAACAGGCTCTTTTGCCCATAAGCCAAAATAAGTTATTTTAATTGGCCTATTCAGGAAAATATACTTTTTATAGCTGCTATTTTCATTTAAAGAGATCTCGATACTTTTGTAAAATTTACGAAGTGACGCTTAGGAATAAAGGCCTGTTCCTCTTATAATGCACACTTTTTTCAAGTGTCCTTATACTGACTGTCAATTAAAGCTTCGATAATGTGGCCAATTAATGCTTCCATTTTCTACATAACATTTGCTCTACGCAATACCGCATAGATTGAAAAGGATAATTATTTCAAGTGTTCTTTTTTTACATGGAAAAAAAATTCGGAACAGGCCATAGTACATAGTTTCAATTAGGGTACCCCCTCTTCAAATCGCTCTTTATTCAATCTTAATACTTGTATATAAATCATTGCCACATCCTATCTTCATTATGAAGTGCAAACACATATATTTAAATATATATATTTGTGTCTGAACTCATACCTACATTTACATTCTCGCATTAAGCATTTTACTGTTTGACTGCTCTTTGGACTTCATCGCTGTGTGTAAAATATTCGTAGTGCTTTTATAAGTTTCAAAATTGTATTTGTGCTTGTAATTTGTCGTCGTAATCCACAAAATGTACTGTCGATATTTTTGTGTATAATTTGGATTTTTAATAGAATTCTATTATTATTTTCTATATAATTTATAACAATATGCATATAAAACTGATTCAGAAACATAAAAAAACACAGCAAAAAATCGAAATAAATTGGAAAAAAAGTATTATTTACGAATTTACTTAAATATATAGATAAAGAAAAAAAATTATTAGGTTATCTTTAAGTTGTTATTTTTACTCACTCCGCCCGTAGGCAAACTCACACACATTAAACAGCCATCATTTATCGACATACAAACAGAATGCGCCGACTTTTTTTGCGAGTGTGAGATCTATATAGTAATATTCAATATTTGAACACCAAAAAAAAAAAAAACAAAAATTTAAAAAAAACGTAAATTAATTTTCTGGGATATTTCTGCTTTTAGAAAGAATGTATGTTTGGCTAATGAATGTGTTAAATACAAATAAAATGACTGTCCTTTTTTGGGGCTATTAAATATTCAAAAATATCGCTTATATGCCGAAGGGTACTTTTTTTTGTATCCAATAAAATCGACCCTTGATTGATATTATTTTTCGATTGAAATAGGTTCATCGAAATCTTAACCCATGGGTTTGATTAGCTGCATTTTTTAGGCAAAACAATCTGATAGAATTTATACTTATATACAAATAAAAAAAAACTGCGATAAATGGGAATACATATAGATTAAATTATGCGAATTAATGAAAAACATTTTTTTATTTACAAGAGCCAGTTAAATTTTTAAAAATTTACTAAACTTAATGAAAGTCCTTAAACTTAGATCATTATTCTTATAAAAAAAATGCAATGTAGATAAAAACAAAAAATTTAAAATATTTGATGTGAAGTGTATTTATTAAGTTGGATAGACTTAAATGTTTTTTAAAGCTCCGAGGGTACAACAATTAAAGCCTGCCGAAGTTAGTATCTTTTATTGATAATATGATAATTACATATATGCGTTGCTATTTCCAAAGCTAATAAAATAATTAATGCATTACTAAAAATTGTAATAAACAAATAAGTGGCTTTTAAGCTTTTTAAAATTGTTTCTTGATTAATTGATTAATTAATTAATTAATCTTGATTAATTAGTATTAGAGAAACCTCTTCTATATATTTTTATATACTATTTTTCCATATGTAAGATTTATGTTCTGAGATAGTTTTTGATATTTTCTTTTTCAAGCCAGTCAAAAAATTTAGTGCTCGTATATATCCAATTAATATTCAAAATTAGAAATACATTTAAAACAGTTTACACTTTCATCTACGCTAGCCAATTTAAGATCTTATAGCTAACACTTGGTTTCGGCTCGTTTAAAATGTGGTTTTAGGTTAATATCGAAAGCTCCCCATTAGTGGTAATTGCACAAATAAGATTACCATTGTCATAGAAAAGCAAACAAAAAGAAAAACTTAAATTTAAGCAATTGTGAGAATCATTTTTCTGTTTTTTGCCAATTCGAATTCGATTTGGCATTCCGAAAGAATTTCTCAATGAGAACACATACTACCATGTATGCATGTTGTCGTTGTTATAAGTTTATTTTTTATGTATTAATATTAATTAAGAGAAAATAATTTAAAAATATAAAACAGTAAAAATCAAAAAGATCCCTTTAAACATGTGTGAGATGCCTATTATATCATATTTCCCCCAATGCAACAAAACTTTGTATTTCCTTGTTTTTTCGGCTGACTCACAACCCAACTGCAATAATGAAATGAATAACTACGAAATATCGTCTTCGAAAAATTCGTTAACCACCTGGCGTATCGCTACGTAACCGTAACCCAAACAAAAATATCATGCAATATAACGAAATGAAATGAAATGCAAATGAAACCCAAATGTATTACTCCACTATACGAACACTCGAACAAACTGCACTCCACTCCACTCCACTCTACTCCACTTTACTCCACAAAAATGAAATACATATGGGCACATGAAAATGAAAACGAAAATGAAAATGAAAATGAAAATGAAAAACTTGGCTAAAAATGTCTCGTATAGAGAACTACCACGGCTCAAATACAGTGTTCCTAGTCGGTGTTCTAATGTCAGTTGTAGGGTTCGTTTTTATAACATTCACCTTGATGGCATTGTGCTACAGGTCAGTTGTAGTACATAGAAACTTCTCCCTGTGTCTAAGGTTAGTTGAAAAGAAGTAATGAAAAAGCCAGCTTTAAATACAAATACAAATTACAACCACAAAAAGAACAAGCAAAAAGTAACATAAAAGTATTTTTAAAACTTAAAAAACACTTGCAAATGCAAATATGAAAAAACTTTAGTAAATTTGTTTATTTTGTTTCGCATTTTGATAAATTTGTCTGTGTCGTTGCATTTAAACCATTGTCATTGTTCGTTTTTGTTAAGCTTCATGTAAAAAAAAACCACCCAAGCGTACTTACTTCTTCAATGTAATAATTAAAATCTTTAAGCAGTATCGTATGCAGGATAAGGTAAATTATTCTATTTATTGTCTTTTAATTAATTTTTTGATTTATTCTGGCCTAATTCGATATTAGTCTGCGTACGCAACTGCTTACTCACAATTGCACATCTGTATACATTTTATTATATTTATAATTCGTACACTCATAAAAATATTTTTCTAAATTTTAGAAATATCGCCTTTAACTTGTGGCATCAAATTCTGTCGTTTGTAATTGAATTTAGATATCATTTTTTAACAGTAATTTAACAAAAAACTTTTTCAATTCAGTGGAAAACAAATATAGTTTTTTAGGCGATTGCAATAATAACTTTTTAAGATTTTAATAATCGTATTTAAAAATAAGAGAACTTTTTATTAATTTAACTGACATGGCACTTTTATTAGAAAGTCGCTTTTTAATGTAGGAGAATAATTTAAATCAATAAAATAATTTTTTTTATTTCATTGTCATTTCTTTTCTAAATAACGGCCTATGAAATTATTTCAAAAAATTGCATTACGTGTCTTAACGTTAATTTCATGGCGTTTACTAATAATAATTAATTGTATTTTTATTGAGTAACAAGGTTTCTGTTTTAAGAAAGAAATGACTTTAGAAATATAAAACAATTTGATTGAATTTTACAGAAGTTACAGGTACTACAATCTTACACTTTTGGTACGCTTTTAATAAAGTTGCATTTTCACTGATAATATGTAGCAAAGGTCGACAAAAGTAATCTTTTTTAAATAATTCACATTTTTTAAAAAATGTACAGAAAAATGATTTGTTGAAAGTGAATATATAAATACGTATTATCATTGAAAAAACAAGGAAGAACGTTATAATCGAGTTCCGCGACTGGAAATGCCCACTAGTCACTGTCCTGTTTCAAAGAGTTTCAAAAGCTGACGTTATTTAATCTCAGTCCATAGATAGTCACTTAAACAGAAAAACTGAGGAAAAGTGGTCAGCATAATTTGACCAAAATTTGTGTATGCAGTTTATGAGTTCTTAAAGTCCATAATCAATTTTGTCTTTTACTTGGGGAAGCTGCTCACTATGAAAAGTTAGCGAAAAAACCCTAAGTTGGATATAAAAAGCGACTTAGGATCGCGGTATCTATTCTAGTTATGCAAGTTCAACTTATGGAGACAAAATGGTATGAAATATAGTCGCTAAACGGTATTGCCACTCACATTGGATCAAGTCATTGAAGTTCGACTGTTGTCCTTAGAAAAGCTTTATATAATATGTATATTTTCCCCAGCTCTCTCTTTCTCATTACCTGCAAATCCCTTTGTGCTACATTCATTTGATCTTCTAATTTTTCAGGCAACTTTTAAGTAGCTCCATTTGCATTCCATGTTATGCAATAAACTACGAGCAAATGGAGTAGCTATGAAAGAGGTTTTTTGATCAATCCTGAAGATCAACGATTGGCTTCTTCATGAAATAATTGTCCATCTAAGCCCGTAAGATGCAACGTGATTGAACGGCTAATACCTTCCAATAAATTGTCTTGACAATCCAACCAAAAAATATTAACTTTTAATTTAGTTTTTTGTTTTTTTTTTTCTTGTCGGAAAAGAAAGATTAGATACATTAACAAATTTAATAGTTCTACTATTTCATATTTTTAGTGAACATATTCCATTACTTATATCCTTTAGTTAGTCACTGATTCTGGCCTTAAATCTTATAGTTTTTGAGTCAAAGCACACAATTTGAGAGCGGCTATACAAAGGATTGCCATTTGTGTATGTTATCGTTGTCGTCAGGACGGCGGTGAACTCGTTGACGTTTTTCATTACTACTTTTGTTCAGTTTAGTCTGTCCAGCACTATAATCTCATGCCAAACTATATCCATAAATATGTATAACCAACCAATCAACCAACCAACCAACCAACTAACCAACTAACCAACTAACTAATCAACCAATCAACAAGTAAAATAATGCTGTACCGTTTCTACCACCACCCATTATAAAAACATATACCCGCCGTATGAAGCACAGGGCATAATGACCTCTATACATTCCATCAGCCCCAATCGAACCAAACTATGTGATAGTGTATTCGTATAGCCCATAGCCCCGCTAACTTGCAGCCCAAAGCCAAGAGTAGAGATATGCCATGCGGGGTGCATCCGACAGATATATCTTTATCTTTTTTTTCCTGCCGCCAGTCCAGGCGAAAGCCTGCGATCCAGGGCGATCGATCAGATCAATATTTTGATTTCTCTTTGCGCTTAGGGCCCAACATAGATGAAACTGACTTTGAGCTATGGTGGTGCTTTCTGCAGAGTAAGCCTGCTGCGTTCCGAAAAAAAGCCGTCTTTATGAATGCGAATGCGAATACGAATACAATGTACACACATAAAGCATTTATGTTTTGTTTGTGTAATATGGTATGAACATTGGGATCAATGAAACAAGCACCGATACGGATACACATACAGATTACAGATACGGACACATTTACAGAAACAGATACAGATACAGATACAGATACAGAACATCTTCAAATGGAACAACACACGAACAGTAACAAGAACAGATACAGATTGTAGTACAGAAACAGATACAGATACAGATACAGATACAATATGCAAACCGAATACACTTATATTACTACTATTACTACTGTCAAAAAATATAAAAAAAATTGCAAACACTCAAAGTACAAAATAACGTAATAGGAAAACCAATGCTACCGATCATTCCCGGTTAAACATTTCGACATAAAAACTTTTCGTGCATGCACAAACATCCGCTAAGAATGTACGTTTTACACTTTAAAAACGGAGTTTGTTAAAAACCTTTTGGTGGCTTTTCAATACTTTAACGAATTTATCAAATTTCAATTTAAATTAATTATATTTTAAAATCCAAATTATTACCGCTAACGGTGCAATCTCAATTGAAGAATTTGCAAAACATTCGTGGACATTATTACAAGTTTAAGATGCACTACGCCTAGTTGCATGTTTCTTAAATTTTGTTTTTCGGGGCTAGTTTTTTATTCCTTCCTGGTTACGCATGTGAATTAAAAAAAAAAAATCTTTTTAATACATTTTTCAATATTCCTTGAGTTCGCATTGAAAAAAATATTGAATTATTTAATTATAGTTTTGTATTATATTCTTAAAAAATTGTGTCAATTTTTTCAAAATCTGTGTATATAATCTTTGCCTATTCTTATGTCCAATTTTTTTGTTTATATAGTTGAATGGCTTTTGAAACTTTAAGTGTCAAAGAATATACACCCTTGCATTCAAAATAGTCCGACTTTTTTATTGCGGAGAAAATTGTATTCAGTTTATAAGTCTGTCCGTTTATACATATGTGTTTGGTACAACAAATGCATTTAAATTCCATTTTATTTACTAAGAATGTGATTTCATTAATATAATTTTAAATAATTTATGTTTGCAAAGGTATATGAATACTTCGGCTTGCCGACGTGAATTAGCTTTTTTCATTCTTTGTATGGCTTCAAACATGCATGAATGGGTGTAAATATATTTTGAAAGACCAGACATTTAAGTGTGTGTTCATTTTAACAAACAAGTATACAATTCATAACAAAATCTTATATTCAACCCAAAATGTTTATTCAAAATCTATGAGCATTTGATTAATTAAGACTCTCATTGCAACATTTCGTTTCCAAACAACAATCAACAACAACATCAATATAATGATCCAACAAAACAAAATCAACAAAAACCAAATTAAACCTATTCAAATCGGTATTTACTAATTTAAAAACGATCCTGATAAAACCTCTGCAATCAATACATATTTCAACGGACCCTTTTATACACACGCATGCACGTGCAATTGCATTATTAAAAAAAAATATTTATTAAATATTTAATAAAACCAAACCGGGTGCATGCGTGTGTATGGGGGACGTTTCTACCACATACTCTTCAAATAAACCATAAACATTGTTTATTTATTCATTAACCGAACCAAACTGAACCAAAACCAAAACAACTAAACCAAACCTAAAAACATATACAAACCTACGATCTATCCATCAACCACGCCTCCCGCTCCATAATTACAAAACACTTTGACGTAAAATTGATTTTGCTGCATAAACAAATAAAATAAATACGATAACTGACTTCATATATCTGTAAAACACGCATAACTTTACGCTTTAAATTATTACACATACTATATACATTGGAGTGTATGCAAAATCTATAATATATATAACGCATATAAATGAATAAACAACTACAACAACAACAATGCGGGTACCACCGATGGCCACATATATAGGCGCAAGACAACAACGCTAAAATACGATCCGCCCTACTCGAAGAAACCTATTGCAAAAAGTTACGGTGGAGCGGCGACGGCGCCCAATCATCATTCCGTTGAAGAAGTCTCCTTGGATGGATCCAGCAAGTTAGTCTATGCCAATCAGACTGGCTTCAGGTGCGTATAAGCCCTAGGAATCGGACAAGAGCGTACCGTAGACGATGCATCAGCAGGTCAAAGTGAACTATTTATTAGCATTCCACATATGAGTTCAAATACAAAAAAAAAAGAATATTAAAACCGTTTAGACCGTTTTTTTTAATTGTCCCCTGCAATCGAGAACTCTCTATTACAGCTGATGCATCGTTTATCGCTTGGCTACGCTGTTGGTAGACGATGCAGCAGCAGGTACAAAATAACTATTCAGCTGGTTTCCCCAAATGTATAAAAACGGGTACGGATTATAATGTTGTCCCCTCCATAAGGGAGTTTTCTACTGCAGCGTTTGCATCGTTTATAACCAGCTGTAGACGATGCATCACCAGGTCAAAACTAACTATTCAGTACCATTCATCATATGTATTTGAATATAAAACGGAATATGAAAACCGTTCAGGCCATTTTAAATTGTCCCCTGCATAAGAGAGTTTTCTACTGCAGCTGATGCATCGTTTATAACCGGCTGTTACCACTTGGCTACGCTCCTCCGATCGAGCCAGGTATGCCCCTACTTCATTATTATCATCCACAGGGACAAGGGAATTCATGGACGACGCTACACGACATGTGGCGAGGACGATCAGTCACATGCAGGTTAATACAATACAACTTATATATTTTACAATTATGTGCTTAGAATAGATTCACAAACAGAGTGCCTGAGAGGGGTGTCACAGAAACCTCTTTGATTCGAGCTCAAACTAAAAGCCCAATCTCGGTGTCACAGAAATCTACAAAAACAAATCTTGGCTGTAATAAAGTTTATTAATTTTCGGTGTTGAGATAATTTAATTGTAATAAATTCACCATTTTTTTCTTGTGACACCGGCGGACTTTAAGGAGCTTTTAAATTTCTCTTGAGATTTCAGTGAGATCCCCGATTACGAATTTAGAGTTGCATTTAAGACGAGGTTCCCGTTCTATGGCCTCAAGTATATTTTATTGAATTTGTTATTTAAAAGAATTCGAAAATGTGTTTTGGAGAATCAGTAGAACTTCCATAACTCAAACCACCATCTGCCAACATAAAAACTCGAGATACATAGAGTTCGAGTTGCCAAAATTATAATATTTTAAGATATAGTTATAACTTCTTTTATTCAAAGGTTCGGTCCATCGAATTCTTTCGTTGTCAGCTTGTGGTTGGAGTTATAAAAGATCGACTGTATATAAAATTAGAAAAAATTAAGTTGACAGCAGACAAATCCGCCCGGTCTCGTATATCTCGAGAACAATGTATATTAGATATCGAAATATCATTTATTCCAACATATTCGCAGTACCATAAGAATTCAAAATTGTTTCCCACCGCGAAGAACGGGAATCTCCCCTTAAGACACCATGTAATCGCATATTAATGAAAAATCGGATTGAAATAATTTGTATTCCCGCTTAACAGCTTAGATGCCTTCCATATTAACAAGCTAAATTTGAATAGAATACTAATTGATTAACGTTTACTGCTTGTACTCTTCAAAGCTTCTATTATTGCAGTTACAGTTTGACATTAATACTCTCAATAGCAATCATAAGTTTATTTTCAGCGAACATATGTTAATTATATATACGTGCACCCCCTAACAAGCTTCTTATGTCCTCTTTAAGCGACCTGAGTTCTCATATTTGCTTTTGTCGGGGCTTTTCTCAAACAAAGAAATCACTACATTTTGTGGAAATATTTTATTGTTTTTTAAACGTGCAGCCCGTATTTGACGGGTAAAAGGACATTTTCGGCCTTATACAGAATACAATATACTCTGAATTTTTTGAGAATTTTTTTTAAGACTAAACACGCCGCCGAAAATCGGGAAATTTTTCGCTTTTCTAGCATATCTCTCCCCTTAGGCAGGAACATTTTTTTTAACACAGCAGAAAGTTTTGAATATCTTCCTTTTTTCTTAGTAAACAACATAAGGCACTATGGGACTTGCTTAATTTTGACATGAGAGTTTATATACGTTGTTATTGGTATTGAATAATAATAATAAATAAATCATTGGATTAACTTTTACTGCGCTTAATAGATTATTTTGTTTATTATCTTATTTTATGTTGTCTAGTTTAAGGGACTTCACAAAAAAAAACTTTAGGAGAACCATCGATGGACACCAGTTAATCAAAAGTTTAGATCGAATTATTTTGTATTTTTATTCAAATACCCGAGTCGCCTTCAATCGTTACGAAATACCAAACACACTGCATTCCAGGGTCGCAATTTTAAATAATGTAATTTAAATCATACTTTAATATTTTAAATTTTTGTCAGGTAGAATGAGTGCAAGCTATACATTTTCTTGATCAGCATCAACAGCCGAATCAATGTAGTCATGTCATCAAAATTTCGATCAAAAATTACAACTTGTTTTCAAAATATAAAATTTGTTCTTTTTCTTTTGATTTTAATATTATTGATAAATATATCAGATTTATAAAAAGCATACCAATATTCTTATTTATTTGTGTTAGAAAAGTTTCTTATACAATATGTATATTTTTATACAAAAGCACTTAAAATTCTTGTTAAACATTTAGTAAAGTTAGTAAAACTTTTTGGAAATTGTATTTCGCAAGTTTGAAGTTTTAAAAGGTCCTGCTAAACAAAGCCTCGAACTTTTAATTTAATTATAGTTATTGTGAGTTCTCTGGAATTTCTTGTTTAACATTTATCAAGGAAAGGACCTATGTTTCCATCGACTCGCAATGGTGATGATGATCAGAAATGTATGCACTTAAATGAGGTCGAAATTTGCGCTAGGCCCAATATTCAAGCTACCACAAACAACTTTTTATATGGGAAAATGAATTCGGGAAACATTTTGTTAACTTAAATACTGGGCCTTAACTGGAGCGGCAGATTCGACGAAAATTAGGAAACGTTTTTGCAAGGCAACAAAAAAACACAAACAAATTAAAAGTCCAAGTCCAAAGTAAATATATTCGTTTTTCTTGTGCAATTAGGTATAAGTCCATCCACTATAATCGCTGTTTTGCAGTCTCTCTCGTGCCTTTCTCTACCAAATTTGTATATTCCTTTACATGCACATTGGAACTTAATACTAACTAACTTCAAACTTCCAACTTTCAACTTCAAACTTCAAACTCCAAACTTAATGCATTATTATTGGCTGCCCACACACACAGAGAAGGGTATATTAAAGAAGCACGGCTACGGTCTGGTGCACGGTGAGCAGCTAAAAGATAAATGGGGCGATGACAATCAGTCGGATAACCTCGAGCTTATAACCCAAGACGGCACCCTGGCCTCGACGAGCGGCGGGGCGGCGGCCTCGGAAGTGGAGCGGACCCTCAAATCGCTCAACGGCTATCATGAGGACATCCTGGAGGCGCTGCGCAATGCGGCCACCCATCGCGGCACCGGAACCGGCAACACGCCCGTCGGCAGTGGCAGCCTGAGCGAGGAGATGCTCCGCAAGACGCTGCAGGATTGCAGCAATTCCCAGCTTGGCTACTCTGCGGAGCAGTACAAACGGAATATCGGATCGAAGTCGAGCTCGCGGGAGAATATCTGCGACAATGCCGCCGTTCATGCCATCATTCTCGATGGCAGCGGAGGCGGCCTTGGCGGCATGGGTCTGGGATCGAGCGTGGGCGGAGGCGGAGGCGGCGGAGGCGGCGGTGGAGGATCGGCCACCATTTCGGGGGGTATACCGCATGGGAGCACACTGCTCCATCATCATCGGTCGCAGCATCAGTTGCACCAGCCGTCGACGATACCCTTGCAGCCGCAGCAGTTGGACGATGACGATGCCCCGTCGACGGGACCACTGCGTATACGCAATCTGGAGGACCTCATACGGCAGCTAGAGCATCACTCGTCGCGCCACATGAGTCCCAGTGGATCCGAGGATATACGCATGTCGGAAACAGAAGCCGATCGCCACTATAGATTAGAAAGTTCCGCAGCTTGTAGTGAGTCATCTCAAGGGTTAGTGTTATTTCTGCTTCAGATCTTAATCACCGTAACCTTTTTTTGCTATTGGTATACAACCGAGTCAGACAGCCTTAGCCCGAAAAGCCCTTCAATTGCTTATGTGTCCTGTCCTTCCAGTCCTATCCTGTCCATTCCTGTCCTGTCCTGTCCTCTCCATTCCTGTCCAGTCCTGTCCATTTACTAAATCTTTCATTTGTTTACACAACACTATAACTATATCAACATAAATGACTTAAAACTAACTGTGCTGCGATTTCTTAGATGTTTTTACACCTACATACATATCTGTATTGCGCTTTGTATAACATGGTATATAAAATGTAGGCAGTGCAGTTGCAGTTGTTGCTTCTCATTAACCGTATTCTTATAACTCAATCTATGGTAACAAATTCCAATTTCCAATTTACCTTCATATTACGTACGTATGTATATCGAAATCGTAGAGCAAGTGATTAATTAACCAAATATATTTGATGGCTTGAGAGTATCACATTTTCATAAAAAAAAAAAAAAAAAAAACTTGCGAAGCCAAAAGCTTCATTACCCATCTTAAAAGCATATACATAAACTCATGATGTTAATTTAAACAGAAAACTAAAAACTAAAACTGACCTACCATTTAAGGCATGAAAGCCACTGCTTGTTTTGTACTGCAGTATAATACATAAATGTAATTCAAGCCAATGCCAATTTATATTCGCATTTCTTGCAGGCTTCAGGCTGGAATACCTTGTGTGATAAAGGTTGGTTGCCACTCTAACTAACTCTAACCTAATACCATCTTGTGGTCTTATTTCTTAAGGGTCTCTTGACTTCACATCGTTTTCCTATTTACGTAATCACTTGCACATATTCTCTCACAAGCATTATACAGAATGCGATGACATTGCTCCTCATTTCTTCATGGCTATCGGTGGTCTCTGGTTTGGTCTCGGTCTCAGTTTCAGGCTCAGGCTTCAGTCCAACTCTCGTTTCAAGCCCACAAAAAAAAAAAATAGTCCCGAACCAACCAATCAACCAACCAATCAACCAACCAATCAACCAACCAACCAAACCAACCACCCACCAACTACCACCCACCCCATTAACTCCCATGCCACTAAATAATTTGATTATTTGCTTGCCTTTTTATCCTTATCGCCTATAGCTCCAATCAGCAAATACCACAATCTCAGAAAACCGCTACAATTCATGCGTCTTACAGCAGAAGCTGTCGTCCCCGTTCCGATGAGGAGTCGCGGTTCACATTCGGCGGCGGTGGACGCTACCGCCAGCCGGCATCTTCTGGACGACATGCGCCACACCAGTCCCATTCACCGCACGCATTCGGGCACCACACGCATCATTCCCATGCCCATGGACATGCCACGCACGGTCCGCACTCGTCGCACCACTCATCGCACACCCATTTGCAGCAGGACGACGAGGGCATCTACGAAACCGCCGACCACCACGAACGCAACGTGGTTGACGCTCGGCTAGACTGCCACGAGACACCAGATAGCGAAAGGTAAGTCCCCTGCGCCTCTATTTCTGTCTGTTTGTTCCATAGCCAGGCCATTACTGTCATTACTCCCGTTCGCGTGAGAGGCTGGTTGTAAACGGTGCATCAGCTGTGTGGCTGTAAACGGTGCAGACCACAAAGATTGAGCTAAGTGTCTAAATGTACTTACATACATATTTGATATTTTGAGAGGTTTTACATTTGTGAAATTGAATTCTGTGGCTGCTGATTCATCGTTTACCACCAGTTCGCCACAACAAAAGCCCAGCCACCCGTTTTGTAATTGTTTAGTTTATCATTTAGTTTAATCTCTAGCCCCGACCATTTTTATACCACTGCAGATCGAATTGTGTTCAGAAGAAAACAAAAGCTAAGCCAAGGGAATCCAATAAATCAAATTAAGTTATTGCCATAATAGACATTAATATCTCTAAGAGGTAATCTAGTCAAAAATGTACCTAATTAAAGTTTCTTTCAGTCAAATTAAGTTATTGCCATAAAGGACATTAATATCTCTAAGAGGTAAAAATGTACCTAATTAAAGTTTCTTTCAGTCAAAATAAGTTTTTGCCATAATTGACATTAATATCTCTAAGAGGTAAAAATTTACCCAATTAAAGTTTCTTTCAGTCGAATTAAGTTATTGCCATAACAGGCATTAATATCTCTAAGAGGTAAACTAGTCAAAAATGTACCTAATTAATAACTATAACATCTGCAAGGGATTAAAAACGTTTGGGCCAGTGATCTTTCGTTTCATTTACTTATTAGGCATCTTACCCAACCTGTCTGACAACCAATCCCAATCGAAATGCCAACCATAATCCAAATCCAAATCCAAATCCAAATCCAAACCCAAATCCCCGATGGCCTCCTTTTGTTCTTACCATGTACCGGTGTTCCTGCTACGATTATTATTTTCTAGTGATGACTTTATTCAAGCTCAACAACAGTTAGCCCGGTGGGCGAGTGAGGATGTGGTATCCGTCGTGGTATTGGACCAGCCGCCATCCGGTACAATGTCGGATTCCCAACCATACATCGACGTCGGACCCATTTCGGGGGCTATAACGAACAGCGTACTCCACCACCAGCATCCGCATCAGCACCACGGCGATCATCATCAATCCTCCGCAGCGGCAGCGGCGGCGGCGGCGGCGGCAGCGGCGACTTCAGCCAGCAATACCATAATGGCTTTGCCGGTCGTCCCAAATGGTATAAGTGTAAGTCAGAGGGACTATTATCCATCCCCACCCTCAACGGAAACGGAAAGCAGTGGAAGTGTTATCCAGCCGCCCATACGTCGCGCTTTGCAGTCGGCAGACACAGCGGCAATAAGTCAACATCAGCAACAGCAGCAGCAGCAGCAGCATCAGCAGCAGCTCCTTCAGCTGCCAATTTATCAGCAGCATCCGCATCAGCATCAGCATCAGCATCCGCATCAGCTTCAGCAGCAATCAGGCGATACCAGCAGCAGCAACAACAGTCAGTCCGAACAAATCATCGAGAATGGCTGCTACCCGGAATATAAGCATTGATGTTGAATCGCCATCAAGCATGTTTTAACCATCAGCATAAGTATTGGCATCAGGATTAGCATAAGGATCAGTATCTGGATCAGCATCTGGATCAGTATCTGGATCAGTATCTGGATTAGCATCAGCATTCACATCAGCATCCGCATTCGCATCCGCATCAGCATCAGCATATGCCACGCCCACTCACATGTGCCCGGAGCCAGCGCGCAGCTAGCTTTCTCTCTAATAAAGAAATTTGTATCGACCTTTATGATTACTTTAGCATAGTTCAATACGTTGCTCGTGTATAAGCACATAAATAAATGTAAGCTAAGTGTAGTTAAGTACCTACATACATATGTAAATGTGAAAAAAGAACTAGTTAACGTAAATGAGGGGAGAAGCAAAACAAAGAGAAAAAAACTTAACAAGCAACAAAAAATGTGTATTCTTATGTGTGAGTGGTAAATACATAGCCATACTTTATTCATAGATTAAAACATAAACAATTTATTAAGTGAGTAACATCCCAAATTGATATTCATAGTATTCGTGCATACGTATAAAGAAGATAAAGTTAAAGCTAAAGATAAAGATAAAGATAATGTTAATGATCTAGATAATGATTATGATTATGATAATGATTATGATTATGATAATGATAATGATAATGATAATGATAAAGATTAACAAAATAAAAATGAAAATAAAAAATTGGGAAATATTTACATATTTTTTTTTGCATACCTCGGACCAAGCAATGCCAACGTTCGAGTAGGAAAACTTTCAGAAAATAAAAAAAAATAAACAAACAAACACGCAGCTGTAAATATGAAAATTAATATTTATGCTAGTTAGTAAATTATACGATCCTTTGCAGGACGTGTAGAGAACTTGAACATTTCGATGGTCACGGATAAGCGGCAGGAAAAATACAATTGTGCACTGGGCCCAGCCCGGGCTTTAAAAACCCCCTTATTGGGGCAATCTTACACCGACTGATAGAAAATTTTGGGCTATATTGCCAGTTCTCGTTCAATAATCTTAAAAAAAAAAAAGAAAAACAAAACAAAACAAAACGCTATATACATAATTAAATAAATAATTCAAGAAAACGGAAAACGGAAAACATTAAATCGGAAAATATTAATATCTGTATGGTTAAAGTATGAATATGATCAACATAAAGTTAAGGACAATGCTAATGTTAATTTATCGGTTTTGAAACATCAGTAATATATCGTATTGTACCGTAAATTAAGCCATTTAGAATGAAACGTACGAATTAAATTATTTTCCAGCTTTACAAGATTATTTTTGTCTTAACTGGGGTCTGGCTTATGTATTTACCAGAGGGTTCGGGTTCAAATTTGGGTTCTCTACTTTAAGAAATGACTTCATTTCGGTTCAATGGGGTAAATAGTTTAAGGCTTATTTTTGGAATGCTTTCAGATGCGTAATGTAAGTATTTACGGAATTTCACTAACAGATGACAACCATTGCTTTGCTTATTAAAGAAAAATTCAAAAACCATATCAGAAGATGATGTTGATATTTGAAAAGTAAGTTCATAAATGATTGCTTTCAGTCTGGATCGTAATTGTTAAATTTAGTTTAAGAGGTTGAGCTTGCCTGATTCAATAAATTATGTCTTTGTTGCTATACATTTTTTATAGTTTAAAAAATATTTGTTTTCCCAATTAAAGCGCTCTTTACATTAATTTTATGGAACCAATTTTTTGACTATTTAATTAGGATTTTTTAAAGTATTCATTAAATTAATTTAATGAATTCGGAGCCAATTGTACGGATAAGATAATATCTTTTTCTATAAATTTGCCCTTAAACTATTGCTTATTATAAAAGTGGTCTACTTTGGAATTCTTTAGTTAAAAATACATTTAGAAAACACCTTTTCTGGCTCAGCATGCGGGCCAAATACAAGCTAAAATGGTATGCTTACGTTGATGGTTCTATCTTTCAAGGAGGAACATACATTTGGATGTAATTAAACAGAATAGCCAAGGAGTAAGGTGTATATAGTTAACTATTTTATTCGTCAGTTTTTTTCAGACTTGTCTTGTACTGCTGTTCCGTGACCATAACTCCGTCCATGTCGACAAATCGAGTATGAGTTCCGGCAGCGATAAATCGCTTGGCAGCCTGCATGTCCAGTCTTGGAGCCGCCAGTGAAGCGTTTATTTCCTTGTCACGGGCAAGTAATTCTTTGGCGCGTCCCAAATCGTGTAAAACTCCATGCTAAAATATGAAATAAATTAATATAATGTATAAGCATATTTCATAAAGAGTTTGAGGCAGTTTTACACGTTTATTGAATTAATTTTGTTATATATAAATTATAATTCTTACTCTTACCTTTGAAACATCGACACCCTGCAATTTCAAATTTATCCAAAACAATGTACTGGTTAAATACGCTAAATAACTATCCAATTTAATTTGGTCGTTTAGTGGTAACGTGCGATCCTCTTGTAGCGCGAGTGCTTTCTTCAGGTCAGCCTCCAAAACATCAATGGCACTGTAAAATGTTTTTAAAATCCCCTGCATATTTTTGTCCTCCTGCAGTTGTTTGTCCAGGAAGCCAAAAGGCAGCCCATTGGCATTGTCATTGTTTCCTTGGGACATTATTTACTGATATTTATAAATCTTGTTTTACAGCGTGGGAATATTTACGTCAAACGCCGAAGTGTGACCACCACATGTGCATAGAAAAATACTATCCAGCCCCCAAAAAGTTAGATGTTCTTTATAATGCCCCGTTTCCACTGGCGTAGCGTTAACTTTATAAAATCGCATTTAAATGCATTGACGCGAGTTTGTAATCGATTTCGAAAAAAAAAAGAATTGGCGTAAGCATATAAACGGGGTACTCCCTTAACGACTTTACCAAATTAAAGATTCAATCGCTTAGGAAATACCCAATATATATATATGCTATCAATTGATATTAAAAAAAAACTGTGGGTAGGAATTGAACCCAGGTAGCCAGCTTTGTATCAAGGTAAAATGCATCCTAATAAAAAGTGCACTCCCTGTACAACTTAGTATAACTTTATACCGATATTTAGTACAATTCATCTGAAAGGTACTTACTTTATTGCCCATGTATATAAATGATTTTATTACAATTTAAGGTTTTGTTTCTCCAAATTTTAATGATGGGACTGCCCGTGACCAGAGATAACTCAAGGAAATTTCGATAGATAAACATAATGGGATTTATTGAATAGGCTTACTTCTAGACTTAAATCTACAGCTTACAATAGAATACTCGTATTTTATTGCTCTTAATGGCTCCATAGCTTTCTCTGGATAACGTATCGCTCAGTAGAGACAAACATGCGTTTTCACGACTTTTTAGAGCATAGTTTTCCTTGACTTGCATCTTTAAGTTTCGATCTTTGTGATCTTAATAATTCCGGCACTTGGAATTCGATTTAAGAATTAGGACTTAACTTACCTTCCCCAACACTGTACCTTACACATTGGAGACCCCTTTTATGCAGGGTAGCCCAAATGGGTGCCTGATTCTGTTCTGTATTTAATACTATTCTCACAACGTCCAGCTTTTCTATAAAATAAAAAAATCATGCAACTCTACATCTCCTCAAAAATAAAAAAAAAAATGACTGGTTTTTGTATTAACTTATGCGCTATATTGAAAAAAATTTGGTTAGAAAACGTTTGACGTGGACTGCAGAACTACTTGCTGGTTTAAGCTGAACAGGATTTTGTAAACAATCATTACATGCCCTTTAAAAATCTGCATTGACTAAAACAGTTGAAAAGTATTTGACCCACTATACCACAAATAATATTTCGTAATAATTTTTTTTGTTATAAGCATATTGATAATGTCTTGATGACATTTGTTTTTATTATGAATTGTCATCTTATATTTTCAATCACACACAAACCTAGTTTAAGTTTCCAGGTTGATTTTATTTAGCTTTATAACAATACAGTAATTTCTTAGAGTACTGGGCGACAAAAAACAGATTTGAAATTTTTACGCAAGTTTTAGTCATAGTCCTTGTTAAATAGCGCTACTGTAATAGTTTCTGAAATATTTGATGACAAATTATGGTTGAACAGTAAGTATAAGGAACCAAGAATAAAATTATTAACTTCAAAAGGTAATAAAAAAAATCCAAGGAAAAAAATTATACAATGTTTTGTTGACTATGTTATGACTAAAGATCCCACACATCAGCTCGTGTATCCCAAAATTAAAAAAAAAGCAGCTTCCCAACCTTTAACTGCTTGAAAGACCCCCTCTTCATTATTATATATATATGTCTTACTAGTAGAGTACAGCTTAGCAATCTGCGTGGTTAGATCATGTGCAATTTTTGTTCGTTCAGTTTGAATTCCGCCGCATCACTATGGAGGTGAAAAGGCACGATATCCGCTGAGGTGGCCATGTCAAACGATGGTGACATGGATGTAGCCGTAGCAGTCGCTGGACTATTGCTACCGCTGGTATTCGTGATGCCGGCCTTTAGATGTAAGCTTTCCAAGGACATTTGATGGGACTGGGGATTATTTACGTTCGCTGGGACGGTTGAGAGTTTTCCTGAGTTTGTTGTGATAATTATGTTCCCAGCATGGGAAGCACCACGTCCACGTTTCCGTTTCGGTAGAATGCCTTTTCGCGCCATATAGAATCGAATGGTGGAGACGGGAATATTGAACATATTGCTGACAGTTTGGAATGTCTCGCCTTTCGAAACACATTTGGCCGCTTGTGCCAGCGATGCCTCTGAGCGTCGCACACGTTTGTATGAAGTATAGCCATCGATGGTATTGTGCATCATTCCAACGGAAGTGTTTGCAGATGTGTCGAGATCAGTGTCAAGGCTGACAGACAGACCGGATGTGCAGCCCACTCCTGCTGCAAAGCTGCCATCAATATTTTCATCGTGAGCGGCTACATAATTGTGGTCGTCCTCAACATTAGAGTCCAAATAATGCTGTTGCTGAAGCTGCAGTTGTATCCTGTAAAAGATAGATTATTAGGTTACACATACTGATTTTTAAAAATTTGTAATTGGATAGGTGAAATTTGAGTTGGATATCGTATTGTTGTTGATTTGTCTGGGTAAAAAGCTTCGTTTATCATAAATATTTACTCTAAATGCGCTTAGTCGGAAAATATTTATCAGGGGAAGAATATCTACTCAATTTTAGGAAGTAACTAATACTTTTTGTCGCTTGTATGCGTAGTGTTTGGCACAAGATCAGTATTATGTTATTTATTTATTACCGGATTTTACATGCAATAAATATAAAAAATATTAATAAACTTATTAAACACGTTGTGTTATAAAAACATATAAAATAAACAGTAAATATATAAAATAAAATAAATATAAATATACAAAAAGTGCAAAATAGCGGAACAGATAGAGTATAGTAGAGTAATATGCTAATACAAACCTCGACTGCTGAAGAGATAGTTGGGCGTTCGTTATGTTGCGTACGGCTGGCGGAGATACCTTGTAATCCTCAAAATCGTCCCTGTAGGCATTCCAATTGTTGGAGACCTCATCGGCGGAGTCATCTTCAGTGGCTGCATTCGAGTGGCTGGCCAAAACAACGGCAGGTGTTGTCTTAGATGGCTGTTGAGCATTGTTGCCATTTGTGTGAGGTCTCTGGCGCACATCCTGGATCTCTCGCTTCAGTACTATCGGCTGCTGCTGCTGCTGCTGCTGCTGATGCTGCTGCTGCTGGTTAACTGCTGACAGTGGAGCGGAGGAGTTGGTTATCGTTGAGGTGGTTGAGTTAGTGGCTGCATCATCTGTCTCGGCACCATCCACATGCTTATTGCTTCTCATGGCTGATCCTGAATCCTTGACCCCTCCACCTCCACCTGCACCTGCACCTCCACCACCACCTCCACATCCATCCAGACTCGCCTGATGAAGTTTCTTGTAATTTATCGTCGCTTCGGAACCGTACAGACCGCGGATCTGAAGTTGTTCGGCACAACGCAGTAACTGACCAAGTCCGGCTTGTGTGACATTAACCTCCCCCTTGTACATGAAGTCCACGAGTGCCTGAATCTCCCATAGCTTGATTTCCCGTGGCAATATAATCACGGGATGTTTGCACGGATGCTCGGCCAATATCGCCTCAAAGTAGGTGGAACACGCGGCCAGCACCAGACGATGGCAATGCAACTGGTGACCCTCGCAGGCCAGCGTCACATCGACGAATCTCTGGCCGGCCAAAAGCTGAGGAAATGCCGCTCCAATGCTGCCCAAATGGCTGTTCCAGCGCACACAAAATTCCTGATTGGCGGCGCTCATCGTAGTCAAACTCGTTGCCGTATTTTTTTCACAAAATTACACCGCGTGTATTATCTTTATTTAAAAATATGAGCATTAAGATTGGGTCCTTTTTTAGCCTGCAACAAATATAATATTTGTTATTATTTACAAATGTTATACAAAACATTACTTTTAATAAATTATTACATCTAATAAAAGTTCATTAAAAAGAGACTATTTTGAAAAGTACCTGCTAAACCAAAATCTTTTTGCAACATATCTATACAGCCAAAATATCTTGCAACATAATGTTCGTTACATGACGACAATAGTTTATAGTAAGATTTCCCGAAAATACTGACTAACATAAGGACATGCATGGATCGAATCAGATATTCGTGCTGATCGAGAATACATATATAATGTATATTAGGGGTTCCCCAAAATTCATTGGGGGTCGTCATGTAACAATATTATACAAAATAATATTAGAGTTTGGAGCAAGGACCTCTCAGATTAACATCGGTCCATATTTAAAGTCGGAAGTTATAGCTTATCATTTAAGATTTAATTGTGTTCAAAGAAAGAAGGTCTGCCTTTTTGACATAATAAAATAGAATATCCAATCTTTCTTTTGAACCCGGATGCTGATCGATCCGAAGATTGGCTAGTTGAACCCATTAAACTGGCTTTAATTTTGAATTATTTAGAAAAGAAAACAATGATTATTTATTATGTAGTGCACAAAAAAAAGTAAAGTGAAATAAATCTATATATATAATTTTTTTTTTTAAATTGTCTTTTTTGAAACCAGCTGAAGAAAAACGAATTTGTTTAACATTTAATTCCTTTTTCCATTAAGAGATTACAAAAGTATATATATATAAATCGAAATCGCTAATTCAACCAATAATTTTTTAATGTAATTTTTATTGTTATTAATGATTTTACAGGATAACCTTAAATTAATGTGGACTAACCAGCAATAAGACATGGTAAAATTCTCTTTGTTTAAACTGTATTTAATGGTGGGTTTTGGACAATAAGCTATCCCAATAGTTGGCGATTTCCCATCTTCGGATAAACAAAGTCTTGTGGCCCTAAGAATATGAAGGGATTTATATGAATTCAATATGGTAAAATATTTGTTTTAAAGCTATAACACTCACAACTTTATTGTTTCGTTTATGCTGAGAGAGACTGTATGTATGTACCTAAATATATATACATATATTTACGTGCTTGTGTCTATGCTTATTTACATGCGAATTTTATTATGTGAGTAAATAATGTCCTAAACGCTTTGCTAATTTGAACATGAAAAAACATAAGAATTAACATTTGCTCAGCACAAATGTACATACACACACACATACACACACAGACTCACACACACACAAATGTTTGCATAAAGGCAAGCATTTTGTACATACATATTCACTGATAATTTTGCACAATTTGAAATACATTAATGGTCTCTGCTGCTCCTTCTATATTTAGTAATAAGGATGTAAACATTCACAGGCGTATTATGCACACACATCCCTTTAAATACATACCTGTTTGCCAATGGGTTGAAACTTTTGCTGCTTTTCAGCGCTTTGAGTTACATAGATGGCGTGAAATCGACAATTTTATGTTAGGACTTGTGTCCTGTGCGCGTGAGCTATCAGCGCCCGAGACTTGTTTAAAAATACACTATTCTTGCAGCGGTCACAACACATACAAATATGTACATTGCCATTATCGAATGGTACTACTCGTTCTCCATCATGGCTTACTGTGCATCTCATTCAAATAGTTATTTTTTTTAATGTTTATTTAAACAAGTAATACTACATGCGCGCGTTTTAAATTTTTTTTTTTTCGGCTGCGTCCCTTATAGTTTTACATTCTGTTAAACAAACAATGGTCGATTTCAAGTGCTGAATTTGGTTTCTCCTAGCACTAATAGTATTCTTATATTTTAACGTTGTTTTCCAATTGCATTAAAACTACAGATTTAATATTGTCTTTCGCGCTGTCAACTTCTGTAGCAATCAATTGTTATTTAAACTAAGCGTTAGGCAATAAATTGTGGTATTTTGCACTTCCTCAGAATATCGTTTTTGAGTAAATGGACTGTTTTTACTGCATTTATACAACAACTTCATTGGCCATTTCAATTCAAATGGCATTTATTGCTCTATTAAAGATAATTTCGCTTTCTTTTGGCAAAAAATACTCTCTATTGTTAAAACGGGTTCTTAAAGTTGTTTACTTAAATTTTTATTTGCATTTTTGTTGTGTGCGTAAAATTAATCGCATATTCGAACAGCTGTTAAAGTTCGTTTTGGGTGACAGTGTGAGCTGTAAATTATATGAATTGTTAAATGGATTTGTGGACCTACGGCGAATTGGATAGTGCTCAGTGGAAATCCAAGCTTCTCATATTCAAAATATCCCAACCATTCCATTAAAATAGATACAAAAATCAATTATACTGTTCTGCAGTACATTGATTTAATTTTGTATGAGTGATCCCAAATGAATTAACCTATCATTGTATAATTAGGAAAATTTATTTCACAATATTAAGTATGTTAATTGCACAACGCAAGGCTAAGGTGAAGAACGTTATTTAACAAAAAAAAATTGTCTTCTTGCTTGAAAATTGATTTACTTTCCATAAATAATTTATTTCGGACAAAGTTACCTATTTCCCAGTTTTCAACCAAACCTATGGGAACATTGATAATTTTTTAAGATGCGAAACTGCGATTTCTACTCTGCAACGAATAATGCGGCGAACCCACTGCGGAATGGTTGGGATTTTTGAAAGATGTGAAACTTTGGGCACCATCATAAAATTTAAACACTATAAAAGCTCGGCTTTTATTCTTCTCAGAAGGATAAAAGTTTTTGTGTATATATGCTTTTTATTTAACTTTGATTTTGGAAGAATTAATGCATATTCTATAAATTAATAAATCCTTACAATTTCCCTAAATAGTGTAATGATTTTTATTATAAGTCATATGGCTAGAGTCCAAGCTTGGTACCATAATTTGAAACACATGGTCTAGTTTAATTGTGTTTAAAAATAAATACATTTTTTTTTTGTAGGGTTCTATGGAAAGTCAACTGTTGATACCCAAACCGAGCTTAGGCTGATGGGTTTATAGCGTTAGCATAGGCAGAGCGCATATCCTAGATCCGCTCAAATCGTTTGTTTTTAAATCATAGTTTTGCTCAAAGCTATATTTCTTGTTAAATTGCTAAATGCGTAGAATATTGAAGTTTCTCACTAGACGTTTTATTGCAATTTCAAATTGACGAATGTATTTTTATTTTTCAGTCGACTGGTCACATCGTTCAACCCAAACTGACTCGGGAATTTTAGTGTGAGTGCTTTTATTTTTATTTGAGGTCTAAAAAAAACTTATGGAAGTTTACAACTGGGCATCCACAAATCTGTGGTTATTAATTGTTCAGCAATGACATCGTAAATTGTGCGGTCAAAGCGCTGTTAAAAGAAATAAAACATTTACCAATTTCGGAGTTTTCTACAAGTTTTGAAGTAAACAAATGTTTATGTCTTCCAAAACTTACATATCTACATACTTACATACATAGTATCAATGTCTAATATTAAAAATATTAAAAAATCAGTATTACATTGAGCTTTGCGTATGATCTACAGTCGAATTATTGCAGGCATGTAATTTTACCGTCATGTGTTAAGTTTGTTACGATATTTGTTAATGATGTCGTGTTAATTCTATTTTGCATTCATATGTTTCAATTTAAAAATCAAAAATATAGATGTATTGTAATTATACAAATGTACAACACCTGTGTACGAAATGATAGATTGGAATCATAGTATAAGTCTACTTAGCTCTCGAAAATGTTTTATAAAGCATTGACGGCTACTTACACTTGTTAACAAAAACCTTAATCTCTAACAACCCCACATATATTTTTCACGGCAAGTCCAAAATGTATTCACTCTATTACTCATACTTCTCCCCTTTTATTTATATTGTTAAACAAATAAGCGCTCGGCGGTTATCTTTTAATAACCATACAATTAAATCTCGACAAATACAAATAACAGTCTCATAAGTTTGTGCCCAGTAAATCTTAATTTATTGGCGAACGCAATTAAACTTTTGCACACAGTCGGCTTTGCTTGATTATTTAATCAATTTTCATTAGGTATTGTATGCATTGGTCACTATGGAATCTATGAGAAAGAAGAATTGCGTTAAAAACAAAAACAATTACCTAACTGAATCTTTAGTTGACGAGCAATGGGGTGATATACAAAGATTTGTTAGAATATTTTTTCTAAATTGCAAAATGTTTATTATTAATGAAGCCGCCAGGCCCACATTTGTTATACAAAAACAATTAGTTAAGATGTACACATAAATGATTCCCTTTTTTAATTTGTCATGATTAATATTAACGAAGCCTTTTAACCGTTTCCCTTAATTCTTTGAACTTATTTTAAGTTGTTACTGTCTATTTCGAATTCAAGTTCTTCAATTGCCATCTCATTCAATCCTAGCTTTTATTTTAAATTTGCCACGCGTTTAACAGCTGTCACTTTAATAGATCACATAATTTAAATATAACTTTTATAAGAAAGGTTGAATTTTTCAAGTTTAATAATAACCCCATGGCTGATTCTTGACAGTTTTGACACAGTCATCATACTGTGTACTAAAATAACCCCCAATTAAAATTGATTCGCTCACTCCGCCAAAAATGTTGGCAACAAACAAATAGTACCTTAAAATTTGGTTACTTTCATCTTTCTGTTACATAAACTTACAAAATGTTTTTATATAATTTCAGAAAATCATCTGTTGAATATTATAAATTTCGCGACTAACTTGTCAAATGTGATCTGTAAACTTAGAAGCACTCGAATCGAATACCTATAATAAAGAGACATATGCGATAATTTATATATACATTTTCAAGGAGTTCGCACATTTTTAACAATGCGAAAGAATACTATTTGGAACTACTCAATCATAGTTATTTGCTGCGTGCTTAAGAGCATAAGTACACTTGATCATGGCACACACACAGTTTCCGTGGTTCCAAATCGTTACAACGCGCAAAATCAATTCAAACAACAAAATCCAAATCCAAATCCAAATGTAGCCTCACGTCACTCATCTAATGAGGCTGGCCAAAGTTTACACAATTCACCCGGAATGGCAGTCGAGTCGGAACATGTGACACACATCGCTGCGTCGCACGCTGGAAGTGGCGGAGAACATTCAACTCATCTTGAACAGAATTTGCATAGAAGTTCATATAATCTTTTGAGCGAGGCTATGTCGCAGGCTGTCAGTAATGAATTCAGTAAGTTTAATTTGGACAAAACACTTTTCCATCTTGTACGCTCTGCAAAGAGATTATATATATTTTGTAAAACTAGTCATTATTGGCACATAATAAGTTTATGTATAAATTTTAGTTTTAATAGCCTCTTTTTATAAGAAACTAATATGACAACTCATTACACTGAGCCACATATTCGAATTTGTACCCACAAAACACTTAATTCGCAATACCGGTAGGGTTATCCTGAGTAAAAGTGCCATATCGGTTTATAGAATTTTAGAAATGAAGCATGAAATTATCAATTATTATTTTCGGTTAAGTTACTTTGATTATTATACCCTTGCAGAGGGATTTACAAATTTAGTCACAAGATTGCAACGCAGTGGAGGCGACGATTCCGACTTCATTAAGTAAATACATTAGCATCTCCGTCTGACTGTCCATCTGTCTGTCTGTCTGTTCGTTTCTACGCAAAATAGTCTCTCAGTTTTGAAGCCTATCCGGATGAAACTTTAACAATAGTCTTCTTTCTATTGCAGGTAGTATATAAGTCGGCACGGCCGGGATCGGACGACTGTATCATATCATAGCTGCCATAGGAACGATCGGACAATGTATAGGACAATCTGGCCAAATTGGTAAAATTTCGTTGATTTTAATATAATTACTACTCAGAATATAGTCGTTTTTTTTATTTCGTTTTAACAGTAGGTTTTTAATTTATTTAAAAGTCGTTGCTTACTTGCTATAGGAACGATCGGTCCGAAATGGCATAATTTCGTCGTTTTTAAAACTACGAGTATAGCATGTAACTCGAGATTGAGACTACTATTTCAGTAAACTGTTGATTATTTCATTAAAACCGGAAATATATGTTTATCTATAGTTAAATATAAAATATGATTGTTTAGTAGGATTTTAGTAAGATATTGTAAAACGGACGATGGTTACTGAAAGTTTTTTAGGACTGGAAGATTTTGGTTTATAACTGCAAGGGTATTTAAACTTCGGCTTGCTGAAGTTATCTTCCTATATACACACTGCTTATTCTTTTCAAACGACTGACACAATTGGGAGGCTCTTTTTTGGGGCTAGTCTGATTTACACGATAGAATTTAACACAAAAATATTTTGATATATTATCGAATGTAAAACCCTTTCCGTAGTTTATGTTCTCAATACAATGACTAATCAAATGTTATCATCTGAAGGACCTATTTTAATAAATGTATGTATTATATTATTGCCCTTTTAGCCATATTTTTTATATTTTTAATATCTATTTTATTATTTGTTAGCCCAATCATTTGTGTGTCCATTAGTTTTACTTTGTATTCAAATATGATACTTTGAAACGATTGATTTTAAACAGGTTCCATGGGCAGCGGTTCAGCAGATGGCGCGTGTGCTGCAGATGACTTCGATTGCTATAATGTCCAGGATCGCTTTGGCATGGAGGCCATTGCAAGCTTGCATCGCCAACTTGATGATGATGATAATGGAAACATTGATTTGAGCGAATCTGATGACGTACGTTATAAAGTCTTTTCATCTTAATGTGCAAAGTGTATTTAACTCATGTTCCCATGACTAGCAATTATAATTGCAGTTCGTTTAGCTGACACAAATCATACTCTTTACTAACAGCAAGCATGTACAAATATACAAATGGACAGAATTTTAGAAAAACTAATGGTTTTAGAGACTACTTTCCATTTTAATTTCATTATTTTCTTAATTGTTGTTATGATTTTGGCTGATTTGCTAGCGTGCCAATGCAGAGGGTTTTAAATTTCGACAGATTAAATTAAAAATTAAATTGACCAAATGGTTTTTTTTTCTTTAAAGGTTTTGTAAGATTTTAGGAGTTCTCGGAAGCATTATAGCCTAGTTTATTATTTAATTACATTCAAATTTGTCTCATTTCCTTCCTGTATATCATTCACATCTCATTTAACACCAACTAATATTTTTATAATTTTCTTCGCCGAATTACACCTTGATTTATTGATTGATTTTTTAGATTTTCAAGAACAAAAGAACATAAATCCGTCGTCAAACAATTGCCTCTAGAACTGGGTGCTTCATTTTTTTCAAATTTTCTATTAGTTATAAAATATTTAAGAAATGGCTTAAGCCCATTTTAGCGGAACAAATTTATGTAACTTTTTAAGTTTTTTTTTTGTTTGAAATCGGACGACTTTTTCCTAGAGCTGCGTTACAAATTCTCTTTCTATATATTGCCTTATTAATTGTTATTTTAACTGCAATAATGCTAAAAACTCGGCTTGCCGAACAAAGCTTCCTTTCTTGTTGTTCAAATTTTCAATTTTAACATGGGTTCAGATTATTTTAAATCAGGCCTGGGCAAAAGGATACTTCCGCTAGGATTATAGTAACCAGTACCAATCTCCCAAAAAGGTCAGTTATCAATTCAACATCAACATAGCGAGCATTCATCTCTCTTTCTTTCGCGATAATCCACCAACGTCATTTGCCCCACCAGATCTAAGGCTTAATATAATCCGCTCCAAAAGAAACTGACAGCTTTATAAGAAAGCTGTCCAATTCGAACCGATTCGTCTCGACCAATTCGTATTGGCTCGAAAACTATTTATGTAAGGCATAATTTATAATTTCTCATTCTTAATTTTTTAATCATCAACATCTTATTGTCTTATTTTATTTTTACTTTTTAAACTGATTTTTACAGTTTTTGCGGGAAGAATTGAAGTACGACTCAGGTTATGAAAAGCGGCAGAAAGCATTTCACTTTAATGACGATATGCATATATCTGTCAAAGAACTGTGGGAGGCTTGGCTGAGATCAGAGGTGCATAATTGGACGATCGAACAGACCACAGATTGGTTGGCACAATCTGTTCAGCTCCCTCAATACGTTGATCTGTTCAAATTACATAAGGTTACTGGAGCTGCTTTGCCAAGGTACGCTATTGATTTAAATGATTTAAAACTTCTGATTTTGGGGCCCGTTTCCTTGTCTTAAAATAAACTGAAAGTTGATTTTAAATCCTGTTTTCGTGTCCTACCCTAGTGACAAGAAAACGTGCCTGAAAAGTACAAAATTTCTACTTGTTATGGAGCATTTTATTTAAATTGTACTCTAAATGAAATATTCATGAAAAGCTTCAGCTCGCCAAAATGTATGACTTTTAATTACTATTAATGCAAGAAAGGAAGCCAACTTCGGCCAGCCGAAATTGATATACCCCAGATATATATACATATTATTCTGATAATGGATAGTCTAACGAATGCGCTTAACAAAAAAGTTTTTTGATCTAATTTTATTCTGCCTTTTAGGTTAGCTGTGAATAACCTTCAGTATGTTGGCAATGTGCTTGGAATAAAAGACCCCATACATAAGCAAAAAATCTCATTAAAAGCAATGGACGTTGTTCTTTTTGGGCCACCGAGAGGTAAGTTTTGCAACATAACATTAAGAATACAATAATTATACAAAAATTAATAATCAAAATTAAGTGGAAGTCATATACACATTGAAAATTTCTATTGGTTTTTAAAAGGTCTGTATGTTTTGATTTTGCAACGCCATTTGGTTATCAGCTTATTACGTTTAAAAGTTTGATCTTTTGTATACAAAATTGTAATAGAAGACATTAAAATATACTTTTCATTGAATAATAGAAACCGGAACGCGTTGGAAGGACTACATATTGGTCACTTTGTTGCTCAGCGCTATAATTGGTTGTTGGTATGCGTATCAGCAAAATAAAAATGCCAAACGTCATCTGCGCCGCATGGCACAAGATATGGAAGGATTGCAGAGGGCTGAACAAAGCCTACAGGAAATGCAGAAGGTTTATATTTTGTAAATTAAAAAAAAAGCTTTCCTTTATAAAACTTTTTTAACTTTTTGTAATAAAGGAACTAGAAAGAGCCAGAATGGAACAAGAAAATGTAGCAACAGAAAAACTGGATTTGGAGCGACGTTTAAAGGAAGCCCCCACACTCAGCTCATCAAACTCTGATTTGGAAGTGCAGCAGCTCAAGAAGGAAATAGAGATGCTACGCAATGAATTGTCGCGTGCCGAATTCGAGTTGGTTGATAATTGCTGGGCACCACCACCACAGCTTCAATCGTGGCTGCAATACACCTACGAGCTGGAAAACAAGAATCATCAGAAAAAACGAGCATCGGCTGAGAAACAACTTCAGTCGGCCAGAGAAGCCTGCGAAAAACTGCGCAAGAAGCGATCAAGTTTGGTGGGAGCATTCGTTTCCACCCACGGAAAAAGTATTGATGATGTCGATCGATCGATTGTTGAGGCCCGAAATTCCCTTGGAGATGTGACAAACGAGTTGCAGGAGCGACTTCATCGCTGGAAGCAAATTGAGACATGCCTTGGCCTAAACATTGTGAATAATAATGGACTGCCTTACTTGGAAAATGTTCTGTATGGCCGAAATGGAGGCTTACAAAGTTCTATGGGTGGTATGAGTTCCACAAAAGGATCTAGAAGTGCGTATATGAAAACATATATTATATGGTCTCTGGTACATATTTATTATTCTCCATTCGCAGCACGTATTACCAACAGCACCGAGGACCTGGATGATGAGTCCGTACAAGGTAAGCTGAATTTTGAGAACTTTTCGCTGCTTGCCACGGAATGAGGCTTGTGCGCTCGCTCGGTCTGTGAGGACAATAAAACACGGCTCTTCAGTAACAGCATACTATTTGACGAACTAAATAAAATTTAAAACCGCTTATTGAACCCTGAATGAAATCTGTTTTACAATAAGATCTGTATTAATGAAGGTCATATAACATTATGTGTGTATGATATTTTAATCTTTGTATTTGTAATATATCCATTTTATTTTTGATGTATACAAAATGTCATCTACTTAAATATTTGTCAAACACAACGAATACTATAAATCAAACTGAGTTTTGTATGCGACAATGAACTTATTAAGGGTGGTTATTTTATTGGCAGATTATTTTAATAATCAAATGAAAAAGTAAAGGACGCGATTCTGCGTCAGGTGAAGAAACTTCTTCAAGCGGATGGGATGGGATGGGATGGTTGACTGCTGATTTGGAAGCATGGAAGCTCTGATGACCCCGATTTAACTCGGTTTTTTATACAAACTAAGTTCTCACCTGAGTTCTTGGTATTGGTTTCCTTTGGGCAATGAAACTTCATACTATCCAGTTGACGTCGTTATCATATTTTCATTTAGTCGTCATTATAAATCTCCTTTGGCGGTTGTTGGGATAACATAAGTAGATGGTTGCCGGCTTCAATATTTCATTGGACACCTGGATGACCTAAACCAGGGAAATTAAAATTATTTAAAGAAATTAAAGGCATTGCCTTGGAACAGGGAACGGTGTGAGCTTTTTGATCTGGCATTAATTACTTTTCCCGCACATTGGTCCTTCAAGCCGGGCTAAGTTTACTCCTTCCTAAGGTTAATATCAGGGTTTGCAGGCGTGCATTATAGCCAAACATCAACATATGTTCATAAACAGAGATGCACAAGGGCAATATGGTAAAACATAACCCATGCGTGACTTGTGTAGACATAATTTTCCAGTCTGCGTTTATATTTTCATGTTTTTTCAGAGCTTCGCTTAATGTCCAACAGCTTTGTACCCCCTGTACCAAAATCAAAACAGAGAACAGCTGGTGCTCGAGTGTACATGGGATTAAATACCAGGCGATTTTATCAATAAAAATCTCGGCATGGTTACTTCATGGTGAAGTAGTTTGTTGGATTAATATTTGCTTTTAATTCAAATTTATTTATCTATTGTGTCTGATTTTTCTACTTGCGATTAAACAACTTGGTTTAGACCTTCCTCTCTATTTTTTTTTTTTTTTTTTGAGGTAGAAATACAAGTTTATTAATTGTAACCATTTTTGTTTAAATTTATAGAAACTAATATATCAGAATTCATAGTATAATACAAAATAAACAGGTTTAAGAACAAGGACCATAGGAACGGTTGGGAAATGTGAAAGATGTGAAACTCCTATTCACACTTTCGGAAAGGCTGGTATTTTTTAAAGATGTGAAACTCCAAATGGGCTTTGTAGAATTATTGGGATTAGTTAAAGATGTGAAACTACGATTGTCTTGCTAAAATAAAGAAGTCAAACTATGTGTAGGCAGTTTTAAAACAAATTTTGTTATATACTATGTTTTTAGTTCTGCTTGTTTTTTTCGATTAATTTTGTTTTTATCGTTATTTTAAAACAAAAATCGACATAAGACAGCTAAGATAACAAAAAATTTGTTATTTCTTACCAATTCTACGACCTTGTAATACTCTTTCGAACATTTTAAATGTATCTCTCTTATATAAAAATTTTTATTTTTATTAACATAAGCAATATCTAACCACCATCCCCTCTCATAGTAAAACTGTATCAGAGTGCGCACTCCTATTTGTTAAAGAAATGATTAAACAATTATTAAAAAATCCGCATCGTCTCTTTCTGTTGCTTTTGTGGCGTGCCCCTAACAAATGCAGTCGCAGTTCAACAAGTGCAAGAATACCGCAACCATTTTTAATTTCTTTGTTTTGGTCACACTTGTTTGTTTGAGGAACAATTTAGCGTTTTGTTTTCATTTCTATATTAACTCAAATAAGAACTATCCAAGTAGGCGAGTTGTCAGAGATTTCTCCATGCCTTTGCATTGGTCGAACCGATTTTAAACTGAGCACATTAATTGACACCGATAAGGTCTTAGTTATAGTACCGGATTGAGGAGCCAATTCTAGCATCTTTTAACACCGATTCCCGGTGTTCATCTTGTTCGGCGTTATGGTATGTACTTCCCGCATATTATCAATGCAAACTTAAAGGGCAAACGCCGTTTGCAGGATATACAACAACTGGAGGTGCTCTGCAAGCAACTGTACGAGGCCACGGACATCAGCGTTCGTGCGGAAGCGGAGGAGGCCCTCGTCACATTCGTCAACAGCCAGGATGCGTTGCCGAAATGCCAGCTGCTATTGGACCGTGCGGATTCCAGCTACGCCCAACTGCTGGCCGCATCCACGCTGACCAAGCTCATCCAGGGACTCAGTCTGGAGCAGCGCATCGACATTCGCAGCTATGCCCTGAACTACCTGGCCACCAGACCCAACTTGCAGCACTTTGTGGTGCAGGCTTTGGTTACACTGCTGGCAAAGATCACGAAGTTCGGATGGTTCGATGCCTACAAGGGCGAAATGGTCTTTCAAAACATCCTCGAGGATGTCAAGAAATTCTTGCAGGTACATACTCTAACATATATCCCCTAAATATTATCAGTATGCAATTGTCAAATGATTCTTAACTTATTCCAGGGTTCTGTCGAGCATTGCACAATTGGCGTCCAAATTCTATCGCAATTGGTTTGTGAAATGAACTCAATCGTGGAGCTGGACGTGCACCTGTCGTTCTCCAAAAATCGAAAAATAGCCACTTCCTATCGCGACCAGCAGCTATATGACACCTTTCTGTTGTCCTGCTCACTATTGATCACAGCCCGTGAAAATAGTAAAAACATTAATTTTATGGATGAATCGCAGCAAACGTGAGTTTATAATGCTATATTTATTTGCTCAATAAGCTTTTTTTCAAGGGAATTCTATATATATAGTATATATATTCCTAGCAAGTAATACTAGACAAGTCGATATCAACAGCTCCGTCGGTCTGCGAGCTGCGGTTGGTATTTTAATTGCTATATATAAATGTTTAATTTGTACAAATTTGGAGAACTACATCAAATAGGTCACATAGAACCGATCGGAGCAACAGATGACTTGCAGAAAAGGAACCCAAAAACCAGATTTCAGAAGAATATTACTTTATTGTCGTTCAATTCTTAATAGTCTGTCAAATATTTACATATGTTATATGTTTTGTTATTTTATTAAGAAACATTTGTAATTCAAACGTGGAATTTTATTCTATCTGCAAGGCTTTAAAATTTTAGCTTGTCAAAACTAGCCTTATTTCTTGACTTAAAATTGAGTTGCGAGTGACTAATTAAAGATCTCCTTTTTTACCTCGTAGGTTAATATCACACGTATTGCGTCTAACGAAAAATTGTCTGAGCTTTGACTTCATTGGCAGTTCCACCGACGAATCTGCAGATGATATGAACAATGTTCAGGTATGTACGCAAACGCATTTAATTGATTTTGAATTTCTATTAAATTGAACTTATACGTAGATACCCACAGCTTGGCGTCCTGCATTCTTAGATTCGAACACACTTAAACTTTTTTTTGATTTATACCAAATTTTGCCCAATGGTTTAGCTAGCTACTCCATATCCTGCCTGGTACAAATGACATCTGTGCGTCGGTCTCTTTTTAGTAATTCCGAGAGAACGAAATTTCTAACTCATTTGGTCGAAGGAGTCAGAGATATATTAACGAGTTTGCACGTGAGTACTTGCGAAATTATTTAACAATTATTAAGCGCCATGCATTGTTTTCAGGGCTTGAGTGATCCGGATAACTATCACGAGTTCTGCCGCTTGCTGGCTCGCCTTAAGTCCAATTATCAATTAGGTGAACTCATAGCGGTCCCATGTTATCCAGAAGCAATCGAACTTATAGCTAAGTTTACCGTGCAATCCCTGCATGTATGTACTTAAATATTGTATGGTTTAGAGGGTTAATTACTTATGCAGGCAACCATTACCTTTACCTTTAGTTGTGGCTTTTTGCACCGAATAGTGTACATTATTTACTCACGCTGTGGCAACGTATGGTGGCCTCTGTGCCGTATGTTAAATCGCCGGATCCGCACTTGCTGGGCACATACACACCGGAAGTTATCAAGGCGTACATTGACTCACGCCTCGATGCTGTCCCCTTGATTGTCCGAGACAATTTGGAGGACCCACTGGACGATCTGTGTATGGTGCAACAGCAGCTGGAGCAATTGTCGGTTATCGAAAGGTGCGAGTACAACAAGACGTGCAGTCTTCTGGTTCAGCACTTTGATCAGAAGGCCCGTGAGTATGAGAACCTTTTGCAGACGCCCAACGCCAATCCCATAGACATCACCATACACGAGCTGCAGCTAACGTGGCTGGTGTACATTATCGGGTCGGCCATAGTGGGCCGTCTGTCCGTCACGAGTGACGAGCACGACACCATGGACGCAGAGCTCGTGATCAGAGTCCTGCAACTGATGAGTCTAACCGACGCTCGATTGCCCCAGGCTGGCTGCGAAAAGCTGGAGCTGGCAATACTCAGCTTTTTGGATCAGGTGCGAAAAATGCATAGCAGTGAGCAGGCCCAAAAAGCAAATGTATACAAGAGACTTAGTGAAGTATTTGGACTGAGTGACGAGCAGATGCTCTTAAGTTTTATAAATCGTAAAATGTAAGTACCTATTCATACTATACTTTCAAATTCATATGTATATTTTGCTCTTTGCTAAACACCTTGTCTACATTTGCAGTATAACAAATTTAAAGTTTTGGGGACGTTCTGAACCGATTATTACCAAAACCCTGATGCTACTATCCGATCTCTCTGTGCACTTCAACTCTGTGCGTAAACTTGCACGACTGGAGGAAGTTCAATTTATGCTTACACATCACACAAGCGAACATTTTCCATTCCTAGGAACCAATTCCACATTGAGTGAAATGAGATGCCGCACCATGTTTTACACATCCTTGGGGCGATTGTTAATGTTTGATTTGGGCGAAGATGAGGAGAGATTCTATAGTTTTTTGGAACCTCTAACAAGTCAGTGGCTTAAACTAAACATGGGCATTTTCAGGGTCGGAGTTAGACACTATAATTTTGAAATTTAAATTAATTTGTTTAGAATATTGATTAGATAAGTTCGATTTGATCCTGAAAATGCCTCTTTAAAAAGCACAAATACTTCTGATACAATTACCTATTTAAATACCCCAATTAGATCAATTCGAATCCCTTGGTTCTGTGCTAATGGACACCAATATATTTCCTAATGATGAGGCTAAAAAGGCCACTATTGGCTTGGCTCGTGACCTTCGTGGCTTGGCTCTGCCGCTCAATGCTCGCATTCAATATACGATGCTCTTTGAATGGCTGTGCGTATGAATCTTGTGCTGGCTTTTGTAATAGATTCAATAATATTCAGTTATTTAATTGCAGTTACTATGCGGACTATTTGCCCATACTTTTGCGCGCGATGGAACTATGGGCTCACGATCCTGCCGTCACAACACCAGTGCTGAAATTGTTTGCCGAGTTGGTACACTGCCGCACCCAAAGGCTGGCAGGCAATGTGTCGAGCCCAATGGGCATTCTGTTATTCCGTGAGGCTTCAAAACTTATCTGTATATACGGCAATCGTATTCTGCATCTGGATGTTCCGCGTGATCAACTATACCCAATGAGACTTAAAGGAATTGCCATATGCTTCTTAATCTTAAAAAATTCTCTAGGCGGAAACTATGTTAATTGTGGTGTCTTCAAACTATACGGAGACAATACATTAGACAATGTTCTGAATATCATCGCAAAGTTAATTCTTTCCATACAGCAGAGCGATTTGCTGGTGAGCAACTTAACGCTTGATGTTGCTTTTATTTGTATAACTTTTAAAATCGT